TTGCAGATGTCATGATGGTATATAGAGAAAACCCTATAGACTCCACCAAAAAATTATTAGAACTAATTTAAAAATTCAGTGACATTTCAAGATATAAAATCAATATACAAAAATAGTTTATTTTTCTTTATAGTAACAATGAACAATCCGAAAAAAAAAAATTAAGAAAACAATTCCCTAGCCTGGGCAACATGGTGAAAACCCGTCTCTACAAAAAAATTTGAAAAATTAGCTGGGCATGGTGGTGCACACCTGTAGTCCCAGCTACTCAGGAAGCTGAGGTGAGAGGATCCCTTGAGCCTGGGAGGCAGAAGTTGCAGTGAGCCAACTCCACTCCAGCACCACTGCACTCCAGCCTGGGCGACACAGTGAGACCCTGTCCCAAAAGAAAAAAAAAAAATCCATTTACAATTAAATCAAAAAGAATAAAATACTTAGAAAAAAATGTAACCAAACAGGTGAGAGATCTTTATATTTAAAACTACAAAGCATTGATGAAAAAAATCGAAGACACAAATGAATGAAAAGATATCCCACGTTTATGAATCAAAAGAATCAACACTGTCAAAATGTTCACACTACCAAAGTGATCTACAGATTCAATGCAATGTTTATCAAAATTCCAAGAGACTTTTTTTACAGAATAGAAAAACAATTCTAAAAATTAGCATAGGACCACAAAAGATCTCGACTAGCCAAAGCAATATTGAAAAAGCTGGAAGCATCACATATTCTGATTTCAAATTATATCATAATCATAATGAAAACAGCATGGTGGCTGGGTGTGGTGGCTCATGCCTATAATCCCAACATTTTGGGAGGCTGAGGCAGAAGGATCACTTGAGCTCAGGAGTTTGAGACCAGCCTGGGCAACACAGCAAGATCCTATCTCTACAAAAAATTTTTAAAAAATTACCCAGGCATGGTGGTACACACCTGTAGTCCCAGCTACTTAGAAGGCTGAGGAAGGAGGATCACTTGAGCTGAGGAGTTCAAGGCTGCAATGAGCTATGATGGCACCACTATACTCCAGCCTGTGTGACAGAGTGAGACTCCATCTCTTAAAACAAAAAACAGTATGGTACTAGCAATGGAAGGCACACAGACCAATGGAACAGAATAGAGAGCCCAGAAATAAACCCAGACATACGTAGTCAACGAATCATCACCAAATGCTCCAAGAATACACAATTGGGGAGGAGTAGTCTCTTCAACAGATGGTGTTAGAAAACTAGAAATTCACATGCTGGAAAAAAAATTAAGAAAAGAAATTGGACTCTTACATCATACACAAAAATCAACTCAAAATGGATTAAAGACTTAAACATGACCAGAAACCATAAAACTCCCAGAGAAAACAGGGGAAAAGCTCCATGACATCGGTCTTGGCAATGCTTTTTTTCTATGACACCAAATGCATAGGCAACAAAGACAGAAATAACAAGTAGGACTACATAAAACTAAAGCGTTTCTGCAGAGCAAAGGAAATCGTCAATAAAATTAAAAGGTAAAGTACAGAATGGAAGAAGATATGTGCAAACCATTTATCCAATAATGTGCTGATATCCAAAATAAATAAGGAACTCATACAACTCAACAGCAAAAAAAAAAAAAAACAACCCATGTACAAAGGCTTTAAATAGTCATTTATCAAAAGAAGGCATACAGGGCCAGGTGCCATGGTGCACGCCTGTAGTCCCAGCTACTCGGGAAGCTGAAGCAGGAGGATCCCTTGAGCTCAGGAGGTCAAGGCAGCAATGAGCTATGATTGCACCACTGCACTCAGCCTAGGCGACATAGCGAGACCTTATCTCTTAAAGGAAAAAGGCCGGGCACAGTGGCTCACGCCTGTAATCCCAGCACTTTGGGGGGCCAAGGCGGGCAGATCACAAGGTCAAGAGATCGAGACCATCCTGGTCAACATGGTGAAACCCCGTCTCTAGTAAAAATACAACCGGGTGTGGTGGTGCGCGCCTGTAATCCCAGCTACACGGGAGGCTGAGGCAGGAGAATCGCTTGAACCCAGGAGGCAGAGGTTGTAGTGAGCCAAGATTGTGCCTGCACTCCAACCTGGTGACGGAGCAAGACTCTGTCTCAAAAAAAAAAAAGATATACGAATGACCAACAGGTCTATGAAAAGGTGTTCAACATTACAAATTATCAGAGAAATAGAAATCCAAACCACACTGAGATATCTATCACCTCACACCTCTTAGCACAGCCATTACCAAAAAGAAGGTGTTGACAAACGTATGAAGAAAAGAGGACTTTTGTAAAATTTTGGTAGTAATGTAAATTGGTATAGCCAGTATAGAAAAAAGTATGGCGGTTCCTCAAAAATGTAACAATATAACAATCATATGATCCAGTAATCCTTCTGGGCATATATCAAAAGGAAATTACTTTCTCAAAGAGAGAGCTGCACTCCTGTGTTCATTGCAGCATTATTCACATTAGCCAAGATAAGGAAATGACCTAAGTGTCCATGGCCAGTGGAATAAAGAGAATGTGGTGCACACATGCATGTGCGTGCACACACGCATGCACGCAGACAATGGAATATTATCCAGCCATAAAAAGTAATGAAATCCTGTCATTTGCAACAACATGGAAGAACCTGGAAGCCATCATGCTAAGTGAAATAAGGCAGGCTCAGAAACACAAATACTGTATGATCTCACTTATCTTAGGGGGTGGGAGAAATGCGGACATGTCAATCAAAGGGTACAAACTTTCAGCTATAAGATGAATAAGTTCTGGGGAACTAATGTACAACACGGTGAGCACAATTAATGATAATGTATTGGATACTTGAAATTTGCTCAGGGAGTAGATCTTAAGTATTCTTACCATGTGCAAAGAAAGGGGAACTAGGTCGGGTGCAGTGGCTCACACCTGTAATCCCAGCACTTTGGGAGGCCGAGGCGGGCGGATCATGAGGTCAGGAGTTCAAGACCTGCCTGGCCAACATAATGAAACCCTGTCTCTACTAAAACTACAAAAAATTAGCCAGGCGTGGTGGTGGGCACCTGTAATCCCAGCTACTCGGGAGGCTGAGGCAGGAGAATTCCTTGAACCCACGAGGCAGAAGTTGCAGTGAGCCGAGATCACGCCATTTAACTCCAGCCTGGGCAAGAGTGCAAGACTCCATCTCAAAAAAAAAGGGGGGGGGAACTATGCAAGGTGATGGATATGTTAATTAGCTTAATAGTGGTAATCATTTCAGAATGTACACACATATCAAAACAACATGTTGTCAGAAGCTAAATGACTCAAGAAAAAAACAAAAACCCATCATGTTGTACACTTTAAATATATACAAGTTTTAATTGTCAATTATACCTCAATAAAGCTGGAACAAATAGAAAAACAACAACAAGGCCGGGCGCGGTGGCTCCAGCCTGTAATCCCAGCACTTTGGGAGGCCGAGACGGGCGGATCACGAGGTCAGGAGATCGAGACCATCCTGGCTAACACGGTGAAACCCCGTCTCTACTAAAAAATACAAAAAACTAGCTGGGCGAGGTGGCGGGCGCCTGTAGTCCCAGCTACTCGGGAGGCTGAGGCAGGAGAATGGCGTAAATCCGGGAGACGGAGCTTGCAGTGAGCTGAGATCTGGCCACTGCACTCCAGCCTGGGCCACAGAGCGAGACTCTGCCTCAAAAAAAAAAAAAAAAGAAAAAGAAAAACAACAACAAACCTAATCTATTAAACATACAGATGCATGTTAAAATATTTAAAGGAATTTAGCTAAGTTGTAAGTGGTAATAATTATTTATTTATTTATTTATTTATTTATCTGAGGCAGAGTTTCTCTGTTGTTGCCCAGGAGGGAGTGCAATGGCACGATCTTGGCTCACTGCAACCTCCACCTCCCAGATTCAAGTGATTCTCCAACCTCAGCCTCCTGAGTAGCTGGGATTACAGGCGCCCACCACCATTGTATTTTTAGTAGAGATGGAGTTTCATCATGTTGGCCAGGCTGGTCTCGAACTTCTGAACTCAGGTTAGATATGCCTACCTCGGCATCCCAAAGGGCTGGGGTTACAGGCATGAGCCACTGCACCCGGCCAACCCTGGTTGTATTTCCAGTCATTTGCAGCCAGGAACAGATGTTTGCTCCAGTAGTCCCAGCTACATGGGAGGCTGAGGCAGGAGGATCTCTTGAGCCCAGGAGTTCAAGTCCAACCTGCCTGGGCAACATAGGGAGACCTTGCCTCCAAAAATAGAAATAAAATGTTTTAGGCCAGGCACGGTGGCTCAAGCCTGTAATCCCAGCACTTTGGGAGGCCGAGACGGGTGGATCACAAGGTCAGGAGATCCAGACCATCCTGGCTAACCCGGTGAAACCCCGTCTCTACTAAAAAATACAAAAATCTAGCCGGGCGAGGTGGCGAGCGCCTGTAGTCCCAGCTACTCGGGAGGCTGAGGCAGGAGAATGGCGTGAACCCGGGAGGCGGAACTTGCAGTGAGCTGAGATCCGGCCACTGCACTCCAGCCTGGGCAACAGAGCGAGACTCCATCTCAAAAAAAATAAAATAAAATAAAATGTTTTAAAAAGATGCTCCATGACTTACAATGGGCTACCTAGCTACCTCACAACTGTAAATTAGAAATATCATGAGTTGAAAATGCATTGAATGCATCTAACCTACCAAACATCACTGGCCCACTTTAAACGTGCTCAGAACGCTTACATTGGCCCACAGCTGAGTAAAATCATCTTAGATAAAGCCTATTTGTGATACAGTGTTGACTCTCTCATGGAATCTACTGGAGGGTACTGAAAGTGGAAAGCAAAATGGTTGTATGGGGCTTGAAGTGCGGCTACTGAACGCGTGTCGCTGTTGTACCATCGTGAAGCTGAAAAATCGAAGTCGGAGACCATCTGTATTTGACAAATAAAATGCAACAAAACCCATAGGGTGGAAGGTCCTAGAAAGTCTCTATTATGAAAGGTAACTGCCAAAAAACGGTATGTGGGGGAGGGTGGTCCTCACCTGAGACGTGAAGGTGTCACGAGCTGAGGCTAGGCCGATGCCAACTGCAATCCCAGTAACCTTCGCCACCTGCAACAACAGAGCCGGTGTGGCCCATGTTCTGGAGACGACGCCAGTTCAGGGTCACATCAGACAGCTCCCTCTTCATGGAGGAACCTCAACAAGCTTGTCTCTAAAGAACTTCGGGGGGCGGGAGGTCATGGAGGCCAAGGCTGTATTTTAAATGTATGCTGTATTTTAGATCAAATGGGTGTCTACATCTATCCTTATTGATTATTGAACAAAAATGTACCTTCTGACTAAAGGACGATAACCACCTTGTGTCAACTGGGGAAATATGAAACCTAGTTTTTCTTAAACAGTATAGCACATTATAATTTCTATATTTACAGTTAAGTTGTGGGCGGGGTACGGTGGCTCATGCCTGTAATCCCAGCACTTTGGGAGGCCGAGGCAGGTAGATCACTTGTGGTCAGGAGTTTGAGACCAGCCTGACCAACATGGTGAAACCCCATCTCTACTAAAAATACAAAATTGGCCGGGCATGATGGCAGGCACCTGTAATCCCAGTTACTCGGGAAGCTGCAGCAGGAGAATCGCTTGAACCCAGGAGGTGAAGGTTGCAGTGAGCTAAGATCATGCCATTGCACTCTAACCTGGGTGACAGAGTGAGACATAAAAAATAAATAAAGTTAGGTTGTGGTTAACATCTAAAGGTGATGCCCCGATCTGCCAGTAGGATGTGCATTTAGTAATAATAACAGCAAACTTTTATTGAGCACATACTATGTGCCAGGCACTGCCCTAAGCCCCTCATGCACATGGTGCTAGGACTACTCATCTCATTTTTTGTTTTGGGTACCCTGAGTTACACAAAGTGTATGTATGTCCCTTGCCCAAGTTACTCAGATGGTGACCTGAGTCTGGGAAGTCTGGTTCCGGATCCCAAGCTTTAGTCCTCCAGTGAGGAACAGGATTAGTTGTGTCACCCTCTTGACCAGACTTCACCCAGTCCCTGACAATCAATGCCACATAGCGTAGCCTGCAAGTAGGGCACAAGAGGCACGCAGGGTGAGGGGCTGAAAGACCCTCGCTTGCGTCCTGGGTCTCACGGTTAGTGGTGATGTGAGTTAGCTTCTTCACTGACCACAACTCTGGCCTGGTGAACACAAACTCCAGCCCCCACCATGTAACTGACAGGCCACACACACACTGCCCAGCGGGACCCCACGAGACCAGGGTCTCCATCTAACCGTGCCCCAGGAGGGCTGTGGCACAATGAGGATACACCCACACTGCGACACTGAATTCCAGCCAGGGGAGAGGGGCATGACTAAAGCTCCCAAACCCCTTAGACTGCCAGGAAAACAGAAAGGTAAAGCATGCCCATTTATGAAAAGTTTTGTGTTTTAAAAAGTCACACAGAGCTGGGCACAGTGGCTCACATCTGTAATCCTAGCACTTTGGGAAGCCGAGGTGGGCAGATCACTTGAGGCCAGGCATTCAAGAGCAGCCCAGTCAACATGGCAAAACCCATCTCTACTAAAACTACAAAAATTAGCTGGGAGTGGTGGTACGCACCTGTAGTCCCAGCTACTCAGGAAGCTGAGGCACAAGAATTGTTTGAACCTGGGAGGCAGGGGTTGCAGTGAGCCGAGACAGTGCCCCTGCACTCCAGCCTGGGCAACAGAGCAAGACTCTGTCTCAAAAAAAAAAAAAAGTCACATAGGAGGGTAAGGGGGATGGAGGGGATAGGAAGAGATGTGTTAAAGGATACAAAGTTACAGTTAAACAGAAGGAATAGGCCTGTGTTCACCACACTGCAAGATGATTGCAGTGAACAATCACAGATAGCTTCAAATAGCTGGAAGGATACTGAAGCCTGAGCAACATGACCAGACCCCATTTCTACAAAACTTTTAAAAATGAGCTGGACATTGGCCGGGTGTTGTGGCTCACACCTGTAATCCCAGCACTCTGGGAGGCCGAGGCAGGTGGATCATCTGAGGTCAGGAGTTCGAGACCAGCCTGGCCAATACGGTGAAACCCTGTCTCTACTAAAAATACAAAAATTAGCAGGGTGTGTTGGCACATGCCTGTAGTCCCAGCTACTCAGGAGGCTGAGGCAGGAGAATCATTTGAATCCGGGAGATGGCGGTTGCAGTGAGTCACTGCACTCCAGCCTCGATAACAGAGCAAGACTCTGTCTTAAAAAAAAAAAAAAAAATTAGCTGGACATGGTAGCACACAACTGTGGTTCTAGCTACTTAGAAGGCTGAGGTGGGACAATCACTTGAGCCCTGGAGTTTGAGGCTGCAGTGAGCTGTGATTGCGCCACTGCACTCCAGTCTGGGTGACAGAGCAAGATCCTGTCTCAAAAAAAAAAAAAAAAAAAAAAGAGAAAGAAAGAAAAGAAAAGAAGATATTGAATACTCCCAACACAAAGAAATGAGAAATGTGTTACTCTCCCCCAGGACTCAGTCTAACCATGTAAGGAGGACCACGGCCTTGGGCCCTGCGGCTTCCGCTGTCACAAGCTTTTATCAAACTGAGCTCTGACGTTAGACCTCTTGCTTACAACACATAACTTTATAAAAGATGGAACAAAAATTGCTACTCTGTCTCTGGCGGCAAGCTGCCCAGAATACCACGCTCCGTGTCGTGGTGTCTGCCTTCTGAGGGTCAAGGGGAATGTGGCTGAGGCTCAGTACCCAGGCCTGCCCTTCCCCCGAATCAAGGCTTCCATCAAACCTCAGCACGGTCCAGGCGCGGTGGCTCAAGCCTGTAATCCCAGCACTTTGAGAGGCCGAGACGGGCGGATCACGAGGTCAGGAGATCGAGACCATCGTGGCTAACACGGTGAAACCCCGTCTCTACTAAAAAAAAAAATACAAAAAACTAGCCGGGCGAGGTGGCGGGCGCCTGTAGTCCCAGCTACTCGGGAGGCTGAGGCAGGAGAATGGCGTGAACCCAGGAGGCGGAGCTTGCAGTGAGCTGAGATCCGGCCACTGCACTCCAGGCTGGGCGACAGAGTGAGACTCCATCTCAAAAAAAAAAAAAAAAAAAAAAAAACCTCAGCACGATTTCCAGGCTATCCCATGCCAACTCACCCCCGGCTCCAGGCTTTTCCACCCATGTTTCTTTGACCCAATTCTAACACCTATTTATTTATCCTTCTTTTAGGGAAGTATTTGTGTAAACTAGTTCAAATTATTTGTGGAACAAGGTGGAATATAAATAAATGTTCTTTTATTTAAAAAAAAAACACTTTTGTTAATCCTTTTATATTATGAACATTTGTCTAAAGGTAAAAAATTTTGTTTTCACAGTTATCTTAAAAATTAGTCTATTCTCTGCCTACAATATCTCACTGCAACCTCTGCCTATCGGGTTCAAGAGATTCTCCTGCCTCAGCCTCACAAGTAGTTGGGATTACAGGCACCCACCACCACGCCCGGCTAATTTTTGTATTTTTAGTAGAGACGGGGTTTCGCCATGTTGGTCAGGCTGGTCTCGAACTCCTGACTTCAGGTGATCTGCCCGCCTCAACCTCCCAAAGTGCTGGGATTACAGATGTGAGCCACTGTGCCCAGCCTAACCACAGGAATTTCTGTAGCCCATTCCGTATAAGGGGCTCTGCACTCCTCCGCCTTTGACCAAGGGCGGTGGTATTTCAACTAGGTTGTCGAGACAATTTTGGCCAACATGGTGAAACCCCGTCTCTACTAAAAATACAAAACTTAGCCAGGCATGGTGGTGGGCGCCTGTAATCCCAGCTCTTCAGGAGGCTGCATCGGGAGAATCGCTTGAATCTGGGAGGCAGAGGTTGCAGTGAGCCAAGATCTCACCACTGCAGCCTGGGCGACAGAGCGAGACTTATCTCAAAAAAAAAAAAAAACAAAAACAAAAAAACAGCAGAGTCAGCTTGACTAGTGCTGTCCTCTGGGGCCACCTGCTCAAGGGCATTTTGTCCTTTGTTCCTCCCTCCCAGACTGGTCTCCCATACCCTAAAATCGCCCTCCCTCACCACCATCCCTCCTTCCCTGCTGGCCTCCTTCAAGCCAAGCTTCTTGAAGGTGTTCTTTGCACTCAGGCCTGGCCTGCACTCCTGACTCAGCTCCCATTGATGCCTTGTTTGTTCCTGCCCAGCCCACTGGGCCTGGCCTCTTCCCAGCCTCCTGTGACAAAATCCTCAGGTGAGCCCTTGGCCGTCCTTAATCCACTTGGCCATCCCTGCTTTCTAGAGCACTGCCTTGGCCTCCATGACCTCCCAACCCCCAAAATAATTCGTGAGGCCTCCCTAGCCGCCCTTCTCAGCCTACAGTGTGTGCTTTTCTTCCTCTGCACCCTCCCCCAAGTATCCTTGGCCCTCAGAGTCCCCTACAACTTCACCTTCTACCACGGCACACGCTCTTCTGCAGCATCTGTCTCCCCCAATGTCGAAAACTGTCTTTTAATCTTCAGTTTCTGCTGCCTATACCCTCCATGCTAACAGTCCCAGCTCCTGGGAGCAGGGACACATTGTCCCAGGACACGTGTCAAATGCCACAGGGGCCAGCTGGCTCACTGGTTGTCCCTGGCTCAAAAGCTCCCCCAATGCTGTCAGCTGTTGGTGGGGAGGGCGGGAGCAGATGGTGGGAAACGGGGCTGCCGGGGCGGCAGGCGGGCACCCCTGGGAGGGGCTGCTTGTGGGGCGGGCCCCCAGCCTCGGCCTGCCCCGCATATGCTGTTAGCAGCGCATTTGTTTCCTCAAGTCCTTTGGAGGCAAGAACCTCAAGTGCGTGGGGATCATATGCAGAGGAGTCCTCATCCTCATGCTGTGCTGCTTTTCCTGCTGGGCCGACTGCGTCAACACCGAGCGCATCCTCCTGCTCTTAAAACAAGACCCCGAAGTCTCCAGGTGAAGTCCCCAGTTTCTCAATCCTAGGTTAAGTGTAGGTGGCTATCTGGTCATTGTACCTATGTGGACATTTTCAGCCAATTACATGGTCTTGAACCGTTTCAAAAATGAAAGCTGTAACTGTGGGCCACAGGGTCGGGCCCACGCCCCAGGGATGACAGCAGAGGCGGGGAGAGGAGAAGAATGGACACCCAGGTGCTGAGTCCTCTTGAACGAGGCAGCTGACTGGCCATTAGACGTCATCCACAGGGAGGAGTGACAGACGGCTCAAAAGTGAACCCAGGGAGCGCCCTGGGCGCAGTGATGGTTGGCAAGCAGTGATCAGAAAAGTTGGACCCCAATCCTGGGTCCTGCGGGGACACAGCAGGAAATGTCCCCACCAGCCATGTATATGAATCTCCTCTGCCTTCGCGCCTCTTCCTAGACCCCCAGTCTAAAGTTTCCAAGGAGGCAAAAATGTCCCTTAACCCAATTAGCTCACCAAATAACAGGCCTGTAAATAAAATGTGACTGATTTCACCTGGCAAGGTCTTCTCTACCATGAAGCCAAATGAGAAGCTCCGGTGGCCCTCCGTGTTCTTAGGGTGTGTTCCCACCTCACGGGGACACAGGGGACATTTTCCGAGACTGGGGAAAGCCGCCTACCATCACCAGCAGAAGTGTTTCCCACGTTCTCTGAAAGCCTGGATGAGACGTCCCAGGAGGCGTGATTTCAACCCGAGGGAGAGGCTTTTCCACAAGGGTAAAAGGGTAGGAGCTGAATGCACTGTGTAATCCAATTAATGGCAAACAGCCTAAATTACCTAAAAGTCTGCTGATTTAATTTCATAATAGAAAAAAGTGCAGGTTTTTCAGTTTTACACTTTTCTAAGTACTGACACAAGCTCCTTCCAAATCTAATCAGGTAATGGTAAGCCACAGGTCAGTCCCAGACCTGTAAACGAAGATGCATAAGACATGATACAATTCAAATTGATTTTTTCTTTCCTTTTTTTTTTTTTTTTTTTTTTTTTTTTTTACGGAGTCTCCTTCTGTTACCCAGGCTGGAGTGCAGTGGCAAAGTTCCAGCTCACTGCAACCTCAGGCCCCTGGGTTCAAGCGGTTTTCGTGCCTCAGCCTCCCGAATGGCTGGGATTACAGGTGCGTGCCACCACACCCGGCTAATTATTGTATTTTTAGTAGAGAGGGGGGTTTTGCCACATTGGCCAGGCTGGTCTCGAACTCCTGACCTCAGGTGATCCGCCCGCTTCGGCCTCCCAAAGTGCTGGCTGGGATTACAGGCGTTAGCCACCGCGGCCGTCCTTGTGTGTTTGATTTTGAAACAGGGTCTTGCTCTCTTGCCAAGGCTGGAGTGCAGTGGTTCGATCTCAGCTCACTGCAACCTCCATCTCCTGGGCTCAAGCGATCCTCCTCTCTCAGTCTCCCGAGTAGCTAAGACCACAGGGGGTGCCACTACGCCGGGATAATTTTTGTATTTTTAGTAGATTTTTGTATTTTTAGTAGAGACGGGGTCTTGCTATGCTGCCCAGGCTGGTCTCGAACTCCAGAGCTCAAGCGATCCTCCCACCTGGGCCTCCCAAAGCGCTGGGATTACCGTCGTGAGCCACAGCGCCCAAGGACACCGCTCAAATCCTAAACCTTGGCCGCCCGTTAGCTCCTACAGGGGCGAAATCAGGCACCCACCGTGATGGCGAGCGTGACAGCGTCCAGCTCGACCTTGCCCAGATGTCCACAGAAGATGGAGCTGACGAGGCTGATGAGAAGGATGATCAACTGAGCAAGAAACTGCGGAGGCGCAGAAAGCAAGGCGCGTGCACAGCCACCCCCCTTCCTGGAAGCCCGCGCCCACCCCCGCGCTGCGGCTGCTCCGGAGGCGTCGCGCTGGGCGCGGGGCCGCCGCACTCACCACGGGACCCGCCAGCGCCGCCAGCTCGGCCGCCTCCCACTGCAGGTCCGGGGCAGCGCGCCCCGCAGGCCCCGCAGGCGGTCGCGCCATCCGAGGGCCGGGCCGCTATGGGGGCCAGTCCTTGGCGGCGGCGGGGAGTGGCTGGCGACGGCGCGGGCGCGGGACTGCAGCGCGGGGGAAGGGGGTCGGAGGACGGCTCGGCCCCACCCAGCCCGGACCCGGACGGGCTCCAGACGTCCAGTGCAATGATGCCGCCCGCAGAACCCAGCGGGAGGGGACCGGGAGGGCCCTTGGGAGCTGATGAAAGGGGCTCGGGGAAGGGGTCCCTGCAGGGGAGGACCCCTCGTGTGCTTTTGGATGACACGGGTTTTTATCGGGAGAGTTTGTGGGTCACGTTGGAAGAGCAAAATGCCTAGAGAGTGGGCAGACAGGACGCAGCTGGTGATTCCATCCTCTCCCGCGGAATACGGGTCTAGCGCTTTCTGGCATGCTCCTCCTGGCCTGGGCTTGCTGTGGGTTCAGGTGTTTCCGGGAGAGGAGGGGTCCGGTCTCGCAGACACCCCAGCCTCCCTGCTCCTGGCGTGGGGCCAGCGGCTATTTGTGGCTGTTGATTGAAGGAAACTCCTCTCATCCCCGGGGGGTCCCTGCCCTACCTGGCAAGGGGAAGGCAGGGAGTCCTGTGCGAGGGGAATGGAGACAGGGTTCGAGAGTTCCTGACGAGGAGCTGGGAAGGGGCCTCTGCAGTGTCTGCCCCCTGCCCCCAGGCCCAACCCCGAGGGCCACAGTGCAAGCCTTTATCTGCCTTCGTGGAGATTGGGCCTCGTGGCCCAAGAACAAGGCACTGAGGGTAGAGATACCTTAAGGTGGCCCCAACCAAAATCAGCACTTGGGTTTTTTACTCAAAGCGGGTAACTTTTCTGATTTTGTTATTTCAGGAAAAGGCCATGCCTAGAGCATTATATCCATCCTAGCACTAAGTCGAACATGTACAGGCAAATCTCCATTTAATGCTTTATTTGGGAAGAAAGAATTGCAGTTCAGGGCATCCATGTAGACCAGGTGGTCCTTGGTATGTCGGAACAACACAGAAGGCTGGAGGTTTTATCAAAAGAAATGTCAGTATAGCTCTTTGAGAAAGTTTATTGGCACCGGGAAGGGTCCTGGGAGCTGGCAAGCTACAACTGGTGAGCAACCGGGCAGGCGAAATTATTCCTAGAGCTTCAGCAAGTTATCTCAGCAGTTATGGATAAAGCTGGTCTCAGCTTACAGCAGGCAGTTTCACCAGCTGGATGTGCAGAGAATTACATTACTAGATTAATGTTATATGCCTGGGGTGCTTTTATCCCTGGCTTCTTGACTTTTAATTGGGTGTGATAAGAATAACTTAATTTGGTGTAATCCACTTTCACAGCACTGAGCATACTTAGTATGTACGGAGGCTTGCTGAATTATCGGTGCGTACCCCGCCCCAGGAAGGTTAATGAAGTAGGATTACTACTTAAGCTAAGACCTTTATTAAAATTTTGTCCTCTGGCCAGGCGTGGTGGTTCATGCCTATAATCCCAACACTTTGCAAGGGCAAGGTGGAAGGATCGCTTGATCCCAGGAATTCAAGACCAGCCTGGGAAACAAAGGGTAGACCCCGTCTCTACAAAAAATAAAAAATTAGCTAGGCGTGGTGGCACACGCCTGTGGTCTCAGCTACTCAGGAGGCTGAGATGCGAGGATCACTTGAGCCCTGGAGGTTGAGGCTGCAGTAGGTCATGCACACACCCCTACCAGGAATTATCCGTTCTTGTTTGGATTTCCACAGCTCCAAAGATTTCCCAACTGTTTTTCAGTGCCAACAGTGCCTAGATCTAGACCTCAAATGAAGATTAACAAATGCCAGCTGGGCATGGTGGCACACCCCTGAAGTCTCAGCTACTCTGGTGGTTGACACAGGAGGATTGCTTGAAGCCCAGGAGTTTGAGGCTGCAGTGAGCTATGATCGCACCACTGTACTCCAGCCTGTGTGACAGAGCAAGACTTCCGTCTATTTAAAAAAAAAAAAAAAAACAAATACCATTTGCCCAGTGAATAGTAATCTAAGGCCCAAGGAAAGATATATTGTAAAATATATTTCACATAATTCAGGCAGTATGAATTCTTAAGCACTGAGTTTATGGGTTTGTGTCTAAAAAAATAGCAAAGCCATCGGCCAATGCAGTCAGCACATTGGTCCTTGGTTCAGATAGTGGTGAATTACATTACTCATGTCATCTTTCAGACAGTGTCTTGGGCCACAATATAGCTTTTAACCTTAGTTGCTTTTTCTTTTTTTAGAGAAATGTATCTTTGCATTCCCAACCCTCAGAATCCATGGGTACACCTGAATGACATTAACTCAAAGTAAATTGTCACTGGTGGGCCTGGCAATTGTGTGTAAGCTCAAAAGCATCACTTGACCTGACTTTCTTTCCTGCCACGTCACTGAATTCTGACATAGAATCTCACTAAAATCCCCACCAGCAAGATTAAGAAGGCCCCCAGGAGCAGAAGCCCTCGCCGCAGCACCAGCTGTGTCCTGGACAACTTAGCACTGTCCTGTGGATGTTCCGGCAAAGGTTCTTCTTGGCGCATCTGCTGATCCAACTGAGTCTCGCCTGTCTTCCCAACATCGTTCATTAAAATTCCTTCATGGTTTTCAGGGCACCCTGGGAGGAAAAAGGACCTCAGCAGCTTAAAAGGGATTTTTTTTTTTTCATTTGTATAAAGGGCTATGTATAAAAGGAATACGTGCTAGTAGCTGAGAGAAAGTTAATTCAGGACGCTATTGCTACAGTGAATAAATAAAAGAAATCCTATCCCAGAGTGCCTCTCCACTCACTCCTTCACAAACACCGACGATCCTACCGGGGCTGGCTTGGGTGCTCCAGGGAGCACTCTCCCAAGAGCTAGAGAAATAAGGTAGCCCTCTCCATTAAACTTCACAGGGAAGCCCTCTCCATTAAAATTCACAGGGAAGCCCTCTCCATTAAAATTCACAGGGATTACAGGCATGATGGCTCTTGCCTGTAATCCCAGCAGTTTGGGAGGCTGAGGCAGGCAGATCACCTGAGGTCGGGAGTTAGAGACCAGCCTAACCAATATGGAGAAACCCCGTCTCTACTAAAAATAGAAAATTAGCCGGGCATGGTGGCGCATGCCTGTAATCCCAGCTATTTGGGAGGCTGAGGCAGTGAGGCAGGAGAATCGCTTGAACCCAGGAGGCGGAGGTTGCAGTGAGCCAAGATGGTGCCATTGCACTCTAGCCTGGGCAACGAGAGCAAAACTCCATCTCCAAAAAAAAAAAAAAAAAAAAAAAAAGATTCACAGGGGAAATTTTCAAGGAGCCAACACCAATTTATTTATTTATTTATTTATTTATTTATTTATTTATTTATTTATTTTTGAGAGGGAGTCTCGCTCGGTCGCCCTGGCTGGAGTGCAGTGGCCGGATCTCGGCTCACTGCAAGCTCCGCCTCCCGGGTTTACGCCATTCTCCTGCCTCAGACTCCCGAGTAGCTGGGACTACAGGCGCCCGCCACCTCGCCCGGCTAGTTTTTTGTGTTTTTTAGTAGAGACGGGGTTTCACCGTGTTAGCCACGATGGTCTCGATCTCCTGACCTCGTGATCCGCCCGTCTCGGCCTCCCAAAGTGCTGGGATTACAGGCTTGAGCCACCGCACCCGGCCGCCAACACCAATTTAATAAGCATTTCAGAACAAAACACAAGGAGAAACAACCTAAGAAATAATTCAAGGCTGGGTGTGATGGCTCACGCCTGTAATTCCAACACTTTGGGAGGCTGAGGTGGGAGGATCCCTTGAGCCCAGAAGCTCAAGACCAGCCTGGGCAACATAGTGATACCTCATCTCTATAAACAAAATCTTCACTGGGCATGATGGCGCATGCCTATAGTCCCAACTACTTGGGAGGCAGAGGTGGGAGCCCAGGAGTTCGAGGCTGCAGTGAGCTATGATTGTAATACTGCAGTCCAGCCTGAGTGACCGAGAGAGACCTAGTGTCCAAAAAAAAAAAGAAAGGAAGAAAGAATACAAGGCTATTCACAGAATGGGAGAAAGATGTGACCGTTCACATCAAAGGGCCTACTAAGTATTGAAGGAGTGCAGGGAATTTCACCCCAAGATATGGCTCCCTCCTATAATGAGTATTTTAAATTAAAAACTCCTTAGAGATCAACAGGCCTTGAAAGAGATATTTCCCCCTCCTACATAAAAGCCAGACAAACCCACCAAGAAGAACGATTGCCAGATCTTTCACAAAATAATGCCAGTCTCTCAGGTTCATTCGACTTCCAAAGAGAACCAGTCTCTCCACCCTGCCCCCAATCCATTCATTCTGCCAAATATCCATTCATTTTCCCTAGTAATCATTTACTATCCCTCAACAGAAGCACCAAATGCCCCATCTCCTCTCTCCCCTCTGAAAGTTGGTTATATGCGTGTTGGGCCTCACTGCGTGGTTGGGTAATCACTGTGATTCTTCCCTTGTGCATGGTTAAATACATTTGTATGTCTTTTATTGATCGGCCTTATTGTAAGTTGATTTTTCAGTGAACCATCGGAGGGCAAGGGGAAAGCTTCTCCTTCACAGTTTCAAGCAGATAATGACTCACATCTAGACTTAGTGTCAAGACACTTCAGAACAGTCAGAGTAATAGGCCAGGCCTGGTGGTTCACACCTGTAATCCCAACACTTCGAGAGGCTAAAGCAGGAGGATTACTTGAATCCAGAAGTTCAAGACCAACATGGGCTGCAAAGCAAGACCTGGTCTCTACAAAAATATTAAAGGGTTAGCTGAGCATAGTGGCACGCACCTGTAATCCTAGCTACTCAGGAGGCTAAAATGGGAGGACTGCTTGAGTCCAGGAGTTTGAGACTGCAGTGAGCTGTAATTGCACCACTGCGCTCCAGCCTGGGTGACAGAACAAGACCCTATCTCAAAAAAAAAAAAAACCAAAAAAAAAAGGAATAATAATAAGAAAATATCCTAAAATGAAGGCAGATTACATAATGGCACAAGAATAAGCTTGGCCATCCCACTTCCTAATGAGCATAAGTGGATGAATGTTAGGAATGTAGCAATATCCTCAGAGTTCTGAAAGAAAATCATTTTGGGCCGGGTGCAGTGGCTCACGCCTCTAATCCCAGCACTTTGGGAGGCTGAGACAGGCAGATCGCTTGAGCCCAGGAGGTCAAGGCTGCAGTGAACCATGATCGCACCACTGCACTCCAGCCTGGGTAACAGAGAGAAAGAGAGAAAAAGGGAGGGAGGGAGGGAGGGAGGGAGGGAAGGAAAGAAGGAAGGAAGGAAGGAAGGAAGGAAGGAAGGAAGGAAGGAAGGAAGGAAGGAGAAGGAAGGAAGGAAGGAAGGAAGAAGATAGGAAGATAGGAAGGAATAGGAAAGAAAGGAGAAAAAAGGAAGGAAGGAAGGAAGGAAGGAAGGAAGGAAGGAAGGAAGGAAGATAGGAAGATAGGAAGGAAAATAGGAAGGAAAATAGGAAGGAAGGAAGGAGAGAGAGAAAAAAAGAAAATCATTTTGAACAGAGTCATATGAGCTCACTCTTAACAAAATGCTTTCCCTGGTCAGGCAGTCCTGGGTGCTTCTCAACCCCAGTAGGGGTAGTATGAAGTAAGTGCCATTGTTAGGCCGGGTGCAGTGGCTCACGCCTGTAATCCCTGAAATCCCAGCACTCATGCCTCATGCCTGGAATCCCTGGAATCCCAGCACTCATACCTCTAATCCTAGCACTTTGGGAGGCTGAGCCAGGTGGATCACTTGAGGTGAGGAGTTCAAGAAAAGTCTGGCCAACATGGTGAAACCCGGTTTCTGCTAAAAATACAAAAATTAGCCGGGCGTGGTGGCACATGCCTGTAATCCCAGCTACTCGGGAGGCTGAGGCAGGAGAATCACTTAAACCTGGGAGGTAGAGGTTGCAGTGAGAAGCCACTAAACTCCAGCCTGGCAACGCAGTGAGACTCGTCTCAAAAAAAACAACAACAACAGAGGTAAGTGCTATTGTCAGGCAGATTTCACAAATCAGGAAAACTGCTAAGATGGTGGAAAACATCGACCAACCCTTCCCTGAAGATCATTGTAGAATCTGAATAAAACAAATTAAATATCATCTTGAAGGCATCAGAATGCAAACAATGTAATGAAGAGTCACCAGGGCAAGGTCCAGGGGATAAAGGAAACCCAGAGGGGCCGCCCAGCCTCTAGGGCTGCCTCGGATCAGAGTTTCATTCAGATCAGAGAGATTAGAGGATGCAGGTCAGAGACAGCTACATCCAGATCACGTGACGGAGACACTGATCAGGGCTTTGAGGACTTGGGTACCTACCAAGAATCAGGCTCTGGCAAGCCTTCTGTATTTGAGGTTAGAACCCCAAAGGGCTGCACCCAAGACTTAAGGATGAACCACTCTGGGTGCGGTGGCTCATGTCTATAATCCCAGCACTTTGGGGGGCCAAGGAGGGCAGATCACTTGTGGTCAGGAGTTCGAGACCAGCCTGACCAACATGGTGACACCTCACATCCACTAAAAATACAAAAATTAGCCAGGTGTGGTGGCACGTGCCTATAACCGCAGCTACTCAGGAAGCTGAGGCAGGAGAATTGCTTGAACCCGGGAGGCGGAGCTTGCCGTGAGCAGAGATCACGCCACTGCACTCTAGCCTGGGCGACAGAGCAAGACTCCGTCTCAAAAAAATAAAAAAAGCATGAACCAGAAGAAGTAAACCAAGCCTCACGCCAGCTGCAGCACACCTTCAGGTCGGCTGGATGCTCCAGAAAGCTCCATTTCCAAGATTGCCCTAGACTGCTGGTCACCCTCAGTGTCCAAAAGAAGCAAAAGAAAATCCTCTCTGAAGATAAATAGACAACATTCTTTCAGGCTCAAGTTACTTCTATGAACAATTTTCTTTTTTTTTTTTTTTTGAGACGGAGTCTCGCTCTGTCGCCCAGGCTGGAGTGCAATGGCGCAATCTCGGCTCACTGCAAGCTCCGCCTCCCGGGTTCACGCCATTCTCCTGCCTCAGCCTCCCGAGTAGCTGGGACTACAGGCGCCCGCCACTGCGCCCGGCTAATTTTTTCTATTTTTAGTAGAGACGGGGTTTCACCATGGTCTCGATCTCCTGACCTTGTGATCCGCCCGCCTCGGCCTCCCAAAGTGCTGGGATTACAGGCATGAGCCACCGCGCCCGGCCGAACAATTTTCAAATATAAAGTCTGGAACATAATCAGAGATGACCAGGTCAGGTGTGGTGGCTCATGCCTGTAATCCCACTGCTTTGGGAGGCCAAGGCAGGAGGATCGCATGAGCCCAAGATGTAGAGGCTGCAGTGAGCTACCATCGTACCATTGCACACCAGCCTGGGCAACAGGGTGAGACCCTCTCTCTATTTAAAAAGACTTTTTAAATTTTTTAAATTTTATTTATTTATTTATTTATTTTTTTGAGACAGAGTCTTGCTCTGTCGCCCAGGCTGGAGTGCAGTGGCCGGATCTCAGCTCACTGCAAGCTCCGCCTCCCGGGTTTACGCCATTCTCCTGCCTCAGCCTCCCGAGTAGCTGGGACCACAGGCGCCTGCTACCTCGCCCGGCTAGTTTTTTGTATTTTTAGTAGAGACGGGGTTTCACCATGTTAGCCAGGATGGTCTCGATCTCCTGACCTTGTGATCCGCCCACCTCGGCCTCCCAAAGTGCTGGGATTACAGGCGTGAGCCACTGTGCCCGGCCTAATTTTTTTTTATTTTAAAAAATTAATTTAAAAATAAATTAAAATCAAAGATAACCAGACACACAGCACAGGAGCCTAGACAACATGAATGAAAACTGGCAGAAACAACACAATTGACCATTGACTGCATATCAGACAGTCTATGAAATCAAAGGGTTTAAATGATAAAAGAGCAAGGATTACTGGGAGTGGATGGCTAACTGCCTAATGGGCCAGGAATTGGGGGGGGGGGATTACTTAACTGACTGAAGAAAACCATAACCACATTTGCATGATGTGCATCACAAGCAAAGGTCCAAGCAAACAACCTGTTTAAAGTCCACAAGTGTCTGCCCGATGAACAGCAGGGACCCCATTAAAACAAACAAATGTCAGTTTCCAAGCTATGGCAGAAGCACAGTATCTCCAAGTGTTGGAAATGCCTGGAAAGTGCTTGCAGAAATTAGGGGAGGCACTGGGGAGCTTTCAGTCATCTGTAGAACAGTCTACTAATGTGTGGAATTAAAGTAAATAAACTTGAAGTCAGTTTACCTTGAATTGGTTGTTACTTGACTTTATCATGTGTTTCTGAAACACTATTGCCCTACATAAATGAAAGTTCATAGCAGCAAATCTAGCTGTGTCTCACGAACAGCCCCCACAGTCCCACCTAGACAGCCCTGTCCAAGGGCTGAGGGAGTCATATCATACCTGGGTGAAACGGGTCCTGAGGGAGAGCGGAATTCCCACTCCGAGCCACGTCTGCTTTCAAATTGGCGTGTACCTGAGCCTGGAAAATGAAACTCAGTCAGTCCTTCAGGCGTCACGATGGTGTTAATAAGGTATTTTACTTGACCACCTAGTTTAGGAAAAGCCAAGCCATTTTCCTTAATAGGCATGTACAGCTGAAGCTCCTCTTATTCACAGGTCATCTTTCATAAAGATTGAAATGGGACCAGGCTCAGTGCTCACGCCAGTTATCCCAGCACTTTGGGGGGCTGAGGAGGGAGGATTGCTTGAGCCCAGGAATTCAAGGCCAGCCTGTGCAACACAGCAAGACCCCATCTCAACTAAAAAATTTAAAACAAAAAACAAAAAAAACCCAGCCAGGCATGGTGGCGTATGTCTGTATTCCCAACTACTCGGGAGGCTGAGACAGGAGGATCACTTGAGCCCAGGAGGTTAAGACTCCAGCGAGCTGTGATCCTGCCACTGTAGTCCAGGCTGGGTGACAGAGTGAGAGCCTGTCTCTCAAGAAAAAGGAAACAGAAAAGGTTGAAATGGGGTTCATGAGAGGGAAGGTGGCATGGGAACAGTACAAGGTGAGGGAGACAGGGACAAGAGAGGGACCAAGATCATTTGGAACTCTCCCTTCTTTTTATTTTATCTCTTTTTTCTTTTTTAAAATTTTTTATTTGTAGAGACAGGGTCTCGCTCCATCACCCAGGCTGGGGTGCAGTGGTGCAATCACAGCTCACCGCAGCCTCGAACTCTTGGGCTCAAGCGATCCTCCTGCCTCAGCCTCCTGAATAGCTGGGACTACAGGCATAAGCCACCGTACCTCGACTCATCTCATTTTTCTACCACCTATTTCTAGACCTCACACTGACCCTAGAAAGTTGAAGGGAAGGATGCACACGAGCATCTTAACCAAACATTTGGTAATCATAAAAACAACATCAGGATGACTTTGATGCATCGCGCCTTTCTCTCCAGTTCTAATTCTTGTCCTGAAATCGGATTTTCCTGCACAAGCGTGGCAGCCTGGCATGGGAGACAAGGAAGAAAGGAGGCCCCTGTTTTTCTGGGAATGGATAAAGCCGGGGTCATCTGGCCCTTCACATCTGAACTGTCTAGTTAAAACAACAAGAAAAATAGTATTTGTGAGATAAGAATAAAGAAAACGAGAAAAGAACTTTCCAAGAGAAAAAAGGGAGAGCCAGATCAGACCCTGTTTTTCTAGGAGAGGAACCTTTACCGGGACAGAATGAACATAGTTACCTGCTGACACGCTTTTTTCCAATTTAGCTGAATAATAAAGCCTAGAAAACACACAGCTTGAAAGACTGTACAGATGATGATCCCTGACCACAGACCTAGAAATAGAAATATTTAATAGAAGTTAATTCCATAGAAAGCCGGCTGCCCCTGGGGAGTATGTTTTGTCTATCTCACTTCTATCAGCCATACTTAATATCTGCTTTCATGGCTGAGGTGGAGCCCACAGTGGGCCAGAGACCTCTACCCTGCTCCTCCTCGGGCTTCCAGAAGGTTCCAGAAGGTGCTGGAAAGCCCAGTACTCCCTGAGGCCACCCCCAAAAGGGCCATCTCTTTTGGTTCAGGATTTCGGAACAAATATTCAGAGGATATTTTTGGCCTTACTGATTATGACGCTTGAATATTAAGAAAAATGCCAGTTACAAGGAAATTAAAACTTCCCAGGACTAACTACTTCTGCCCTAATTCCCTCAAAAAAGGGGACTAACATAAAAAAAAAAAAAAAAAAAAAAAAAGCAGAAATCACTAGCCATATAAATTACTAATGCTCTCTCCCTCAGAGTTCCTGCCAGACCTTGGACCTTAACTTGCTTCCGACACAGACTTTGCTGGAAGCTTCCAGAGCAGGGCTGGGCACCCAGAGATGACTGGAGAACACCAAAGGCAGGCCAGGTGGGAACGGATGGCAGGAAAAGCCCTGTGGATCTCAAGGCACCACACAGGGCACAGAGGGAGACCCCAGGTGAGGAGCGTTTTTTGGTCAATAGTAAACTAATGGAAGAACAAAAAGCTTCAACAATAACCAAAAGGCAAGGGCCTGACCGTAATAAAAACAGACCTATGCCTCACAACGTGCAGCATCCTGCCCAAGAACCCACCCCCTATCTACAGTAAACCCAGGAAGCCAGCCTTCCCTAAATCAGGCTCGCAGGAAGCAAGATTGCCTCTGGTGACAATCCAGGAAGCTAACCAGTAACTTCTGTAACGATTGGCCCCAGATGGCCAGGACTTGATTAGCAACTGACAGCTTCCCTAATTTTGGTCTGCACTTCCAACTTAGAACCAACCAGAGAAAGTGAAATACATCCCCCCTAACCAATCACATGAGGCCCATTTCTAGTCAGCTACCTCCAGCATCCCTCAGATCAACAACCTCCACTCAGGGCACACCTGCAGCCTCCCCTTTTATCCACGGTGACGCTTTCCCACTCCTTTGCCTGCCTTTGAGTCTCTGCCCAAATGCAAGGGGTGGCGGCCAACACCCTTGCTGAGAATACGCAGCCTTTGCTGGTCTTGCTTGGTTGGTCCTGGTTGATTTCCACAGCTGTCCAGATCTATGTAAGGGTTAAGGTGGCTAGTCTGGGTTCCTGGTTTATGGATTTGGTACAGGGTTTATAGCTCTGTTTTCTTGGTACCAATCACATTTTCAGGTATGACCAGCCTGCCCTTTTGTTTGTTTGTTTGTTTGCTTTTTAGAGGCAGGGTCTTGCTCTGCTGCCCAGGCTGGAGAGCAGTGGCATGACCACAGCTCACTGCAGCCTCCAACTCCTGGAATCAAGTGATCCTCCCGCCTTGGCCTCCCAAAGCACTAGGATTATAGGTATGAGTCACTGCGCCCAGCCTAGCCTCCTCTTAGAATAGTATAGTTGGTGCCACCTGCTAGTCCTATAAAAAATTAGTAAATGCAAGCTCCTGGCTTCCACTTACAAATCCAGTGTTCTCAGTACATAGAAACTACAAGCTCACCCGAACCATCTTAAACAGGAAATAACCAGCTACCTCCAGCTATAATCTGAAAGTTATGAATTAGATTTCCAATAATTTTAGCATACATCATTTGAAAGATTTCTATTTGACCCAACCTAGGAGCCCAACGTAGGATGGTTATTAGAATTTCACGGGCAAGGTCCAGGAATTTACATATTTACAACGTCTCCCAGGGACTCTGAGGGTCATTATGATTTCCTGGGGTTGCTTCTGAGAACCTGCAGAATTCTGATGCTCTCCTAGACACCTTGTGTAGGTATACTGCATACCATACCAGAGGAGATACAATACTCAAAACCAATTCATACCACACTTTCTTCTAATAGGTGGGTGGAGGGATTGAGTACGGTCGTCTCATAGAGCCCCCACATCTACCATTTCTTTTCAGTGATTCTCAACTTCCTCTTCTACTTTGCACAATTAGTTATGCTTTTTTTTTTTTTTTTTTTTTTTTTTTTTTGATAAAGTCTCACTCTGTCGCCCAGGCTGGAGTGCAGTGGTGCCATCTTGGCTCACTGCAGCCTCCGCTTCCCAGGTTCAAGCAATTCTTGTGCCTCAGCCTCCCAAATAACTGGGACTACAGGCGCACACCACCACACCTGGCTAATTTTTGTACTTTTAGTAGAGATGGGGTTTCACCATGTTGCCCAGGTTGGTCTCGAACTCCTAACCTCCAGTGAACCGCCCACCTCAGCCTCCCAAAGTGCTGGAATTACAGGCATGAGCCACTGTGCCTGGCCTAGATATATTTTGTTAAATGAATAGGTGAGCCAAGGACAGCACTTGGGATATAGATGGATTTATATTTCCAAGCAGGTTCCTCATGCCTGTAATCCCAGATACTTGGGAGGCAAAAGTGGGAGGATCACTTGAGTCAAGGAGTTTGAGACCAGCCTGGGCAACATAGCAAGACCCCATCTGTAAAAAATGAAACAAGGGAATAAAGTAGATTCCTCTTCTGAAAAAGTTGAACTCACAGAAGTACAGAGTAGAATGATGGTTACCAGGGACTGGTGGCAAGGAGGGGAGGGTGTGGGAACAGGGACTTGTTAAGGTACAAAGTTTCTGATAGACAGGAAGAATAAGTTTTGAGATCAATTGCACACCAAGGTGACTAGTCAATGTACTGTACATTTCAAATTAACTAGGTAAATTTCAAACATCTCACCATTAAAAAAAGTGGTGATAAGTATGTTAATTAGCTTGATCTAATTGTTCCACATTCTATACATATATCAAAAATACCACACTGTACCCCATAAATGCAAACAATTATAATTTGTCAATTTAAAACTTAAAAGATATAATATAAAAAAGAGAATTTAAAGTATTTCCTTAATATTTTATACTGATTGCATGTTGCAATAATATTTTAGATATATTGTGTTACATAAAATACATTACTTTAAAAATAAAAATAAATTAAGATTCCTATAATATTTGTATTAGCTAGGCAATGGCAAATCCAAAACATGAATCATACCAGAAACTCAGCTAAATAATTTTCTGCACTATCATGCAAGCCCAATGAACTTTGCATTGGCAATTCTATTCTTTGAACAACTCCTGTATTTTTAATTAAAATATTATTGAACTTGAGAAAAATGTGCCACATAAAGGAACATACTGAACTGGAAGTTCCCTGTAGCTATCAATTGACTTCTCACCACCTCTGAGCCTGCCAAGTACAGATGGATCAAAACAAGCCTCGCTTTAAGTCGGTCACTACTCACCCCAAAGATAAATGTCCAGGTTTTCATATCATCATTTATTAACTGCCAATGTATTTCAAATTATTATTTTAGAAATCAAAGCTGGGCAGTCATTTATTTCTGTACTTTTTAAAACGATTAGCTCTGGTAATTTCAGATGCTGTGGATTAAGTTTTTTCTTCCAAATGTGGGAAGGTGCTCAAGTTCACCCTCTTCCTTCTGTGCTGTTCACACCGACCACGTGTATGGCCTTGTGAGGAGACCTACAGGCACAGAGCTAAGGCTGTGCAAGGAGGGAGGTGGAGGCTGCGGAGTGCAATGAGGGTGATGAGAAGGGCACTGGCCACCCGTTGCCCTCCAAGGATCCAGCCACGCTGCTTGGTGAACACACGGGGCGCTGTTCTAGGATGCACAGGGCCACTGTGAGTGCTGACCCTGCGGCACCCCACGCAAGCAGGACAGACCACCTACGATGGCCTCAGCCCTGCAGAGTCACCCACAGGGGATCACACGCTGTCTCCAAAGAACAGCATGGAACATGCAAAAGGGAAGCTTCTGAATGCTTCTTCAGCATTTCCTACTGTCGCCTCCTTTAGAGAAGTGAGGGCTGGATGATTCAGGAGAGGAGGTGAGTAGAAAGGGCATCCGTGCTCAAGTGTGTCAGCATGGAAGATCGCCCGCAGGGGTGCGAGGGGCAGGACAATGTAGCCTTGGGGCCCTGGCTAGAGTTGGAGGCCACCTCCTGAACGCCCGCTACGCTCTCTAACAAGACACAGAATGGACGTCGGTGAGTTCCCGAGTTTCAGAGGTGAGCCTCAGTCAAAGGCCTGTGTGCTCTGACAGTCATTTCCTGGACTGGTGAGCAGCTAAGCCCTGCCTGCAGAGGTTAGAGCTTACCCATCACTCCAAGTTTGGTTGCAAACATCAGCGTGATCCCGATGGGGAGGCCAACCACGTAGTACCCAACAGTATTCACAATGGCTCCAACCTTCTGATTTCCACTCCCCCTCAGAACGCCACCGCTCGTGCACTGCAGGCAGAGAGCATTCCATCAGCCGGCGCTCCTGAAACACTCCCATCTCGTGGGCACTTCATTTCTGTGGGACTCGGACGCTAAAACCCATAAGGTGACAGTATCCTTCTAAACAAAATGTGATAACAATATTCAATCTTCCTACCTACCCTGACCTGTCCTCTCAGCTGAAATTTACCACCATCAGAAGAAATCCATAGATCACAACAGGGCTTAGGGAACTACTACATAACACTTACAGCAAGAGCTTCGAAGAGGTGGGAAACAGCATAAATTGGAACCACCTGAGCCACCAGATTAATGATGTCTCTGTTAGGAAAAAGAAACCACATGGTGATTAGGAGACAAAGTGGAGAAAGAAGTATATAGCTTTCTGGCTGGGCGCAGTGGCTCATGCCTGTAATCTCAGCACTTTGGGAGACTGAGACGGGAGGATCACCTGAGGTCAGGAGTTTGAGACCAGCCTGGCCAACATGGCGAAACTCCGTATCTACTAAAAATATAAAATTAGCCAGGCCTGGTGGCAGATACCTGTAATCCCAGCTACTCGGGAGGCTGAGGCAGGAGAATCACTTGAACCCAGGAGGCGGAGGTTGCAGTGAGCTGAGATCGCACCACTGCACTTCAGCCTGGATGACAGAGTGAGACTGTCTCAAAAATAAAAAAAAAAAAGGATATAGCTTTCTGCATTTTACAAACATGCACATACATTGAGGCCAGCAGCCTAGTCAGGGACAGTTCTCCTGTTGCTGGGCCCATGGAGGAAACTAACTGCACATTTTATCTCACGACTTTTAGAAAAAAATATGCAGCACCACATCCTTGTCTTCAGGAGATATGTTCCAAGACCCCCAGTGGATGCCTGAAATCGCAGAGAGGACTGAACCCTAAATACATTGTTTTCCTTATACACACACACCTATGATAATGTTAATTTATAAATTGGGCACAGTAAGAGAGTAACAACAGTAGTAATAAAGTAGGCCACAACCACATGCCGGCATCACTACTTTTGTGCTTTGGGGCTGTTACTAGCACTGTGATACCAACAAACAGTCCATCTGAAATAACTAGCAGGTGGAAAGCACGCACAGCGTGGAGACGTTGGACAAAGGGATGATTTCATGCCCCAGGTGGATGTGAGATTTCCTCCTAATACTCCTAACGGCATGCAATTGAAAACTTATGAATTGTTTATTTCTGGAATTTTCCACTTAAGATTTTCAGGGGCCGGTCACGGTGGCTCACGCCTGTAATCCCAGCACTTTGGGAGGCCGAGGTGGGTGGATCACAAGGTCAGGAGATTGAGACCACCCTGACTAACACAGTGAAACCCCGTCTCTACTAAAAATATAAAAATTAGCCAGCTGTGGTGGCGGGCGCCTGTAGTCCCAGCTGCTCGGGAGGCTGAGGCAGGAGAATGGCATGAACCTGGGAGGCAGAGCTTGTAGTGAGCCAAGATCATGCCACTGCACTCCAGCCTGGGCGACAGAGCGAGACTCCGTCTCAAAAAAAAAAAAAAAAAAAAAAGATTTTCAGACCAAAATTGACTGCAGGTGACTAAACCTTGGAAAGCAAAACCAAGGATAGAGGGGCTACTGCAAAGTCCATGTGGTCAGTATAGACAAATCAAGTGATTTGACGACACCCCTCCCCCATTCCCCACCAGCTGGAAAAAAGTTTGGCTGGGGACAGTAGCACGCATCTATCATCCCAGCAAGTTTGGATGCTATGATCATCCCTCTTTTAAGATGATGCCACAGGCCAAGTCTGACTGTGTCTCTTAGTAAACCTGAGTGAAGCGCTACAGAGTAAAAATTAAGTTCCCTCTATGGAACGAAGGTTGGTAAAGGCCATAGATATATTCTGTAGAATTATCCTTGGTTCCTAGAAATGGCACCCCTAAAGCTAGAGACTTGGATTCTAACTCCTACACATGAAGGGAGATGAGAAAAATGCTGCCCTGACCTGTGGAAGCAAGAAATCCACAACACCCTTGGAGTGAGTTTGGTCACTCCAATCTAGAACCTGGAAGACTGTCTGCCAATAAATGCTTGTTTAATTACTAAATAAGAAATCCAGCACTGGGCTGGGCACGGTGGCTCACGCCTGTAATCCCAGCACTTCAGGAGGTCAAGGCGGGTGGATCACCTGAGGTCACGAGTTCGAGACCAGCCTGACCAACATGGAGAAATCCCATCTCTACTAAAAATACAAAATTCGCAGGTGTGGTGGTGCACGCCTGTAATCCCAGCTACTCGGGAGGCTGAGGCAGGAGAATCGCTTGAAACCAGGAGGCAGAGACTGCGGTGAGCCAAGATCGCACCGTTGCACTCCAGCCTGGGCAACAAGAGCAAAACTCCGTCTCAAAAATAAAAAAAGAAATCCAGCACTGAACAAGATGATCACTTCTTCCTCACCAAAAAGGACAGAAATATAATTATTTTATTCAAATTTTATTTTCGGAATAGGTAACATGCATGTGGTCAAAAAACGGTACAATATGAACAAGATAGTAAGCAAAGTCTTACGACTGCAATGCACTTCCAGTTTGCCCCAGTACTAGCCCTTCCTCCTCCAGGTAACAATTCTTAGCACGTTCCATGTTTGTGTAGTGTCTATGAAAATATAAGCAAATACAAATGTATGTTCTTAATTTTCCTTTCTATATTCTATCATTTCACATGCAGCATTCTCTATATGATGTTCTGCACCTTGCTTTTTCCTGAGATATTATATTCACTTTTTTTTTTGAGACAGGGTCTCACTGTCACCCAGGCTGGAGTGGAGTAGTACAGTCATGGCTCACTGCAGCCTCAACCTCTCAGGCTCAAGTGATCCTCCCACCTCAGCCTCTTGAGTAGCCAGGACTACAGGTGCACACCACCATGCCCAGCTAAATTTTATTTTTTGTAGAGATGGGGGTTTCACCATGTTGTCCAGGCTGGTCTCGAACTCCTGGGCTCAAGTGATCCTTTTGCCTCAGTCTCCCAAAGTGTTGGGATTACAGGCATGAGCCACTGTGCCTGGCCTATATTCACTTTTATATTTCACCAAAATATATTCTTTTCAATGTGCTGCTAAATTCTAATTATATTTTTATTTTGGATTTTTAGATTGGTATTAATACATAAGAATGATCTGTGATTTTCTTTTTTATGTGCAAACTTTCGCAGATTTTGGCACCAATGTTATATTTGCTTCATAAACAGAATGCGAAGTTTTCCTTTTCCTGTGCTCTGGGAAATTCTGTTTGATCTGTGTTTGCAATTCCCTGTGTTTTGAAGATTTGATAAAATCATCCTTTGGAACCTTCTGGGATTGTGCTTTTTGACATTTTAAAATAGCTTTCTCTTATTTCTTACCAGGAAATCAGTTTATTTAGACCTTCTATCTTTTCTAGGGTATATCCTGATCAATTATTTCCCTAGAAAATTATCTGTTTATTCCAGGTTTTTAGATTTCCTTGGAAAAAGTCATGCAAAGTAGTCTCTTAGGATTTTAAAAAACGATCGTGGTCAGTAGTAACGTCCCCCTTTCTTTGTTAGAGGTGCCATTTCCCGCCCCCCTGTGATTAAGTTAGGTAGAGGTTGAGCTCTTTCACCGATTTTACCAGATTGGGTCGGATCCTGGTCACCTTCCAAGTAATTTGATTGTTGAGTTTCTGATGTTTCCTCGTCTCGTCAGTTCTATAGCTTGTGGGCCTCTTGGTTTTTCATTCTTTTCCTGCGCTCTATGGTTTCCCAAGTGGACAGATTCAGAGTCCAGTGTCTACCATATTCCTTCTGAAACCATCTGTCTATCCTGGTCCTCATAAAGGTCATCCTGATTCCCTTTGTGAAAAAAGCCAACTACTTACCGTCACCTTCCCCATTCATTCTGAGTGAGGGAGCTATAAACATCTTTTTATTTGTTTGTTTGTTTGAGACAGAGTCTCACTCTGTTGCCCAGGCTGGAGTGCAGTGGTGCAATCTCAGCTCACTGCACCCTCCAACTCCCAGGTTCAAGTGATTCTCCTGCCTCCGCCTCCTGAGTAGCTGGGATTGCAGGTGTGCCTCACCACACCTGGCTATTTTTTTTTTTTTTTTTTTTTTTTTTTTTTTTGTATTTTTAGTAGAGACAGGGTTTCCCCATGTTGACCAGCTGGTCTTGAACTCCTGAACTCAGGCAATCCATCCGCCTCTGCCTCCTAAAGTGTTGGGATTACAGGAGTGAGCCACCGTGCCTGGCCTAAACATCTTATTTCCCCGTAACAAAATAGCTGAAGCTGAAAAATGAAAACCAACGATCTGAAGTCAAAAGTCAAATGTGTGAAGAATAAACCATGAAATTAGTTCCGTCCACTCCACCAGCTTTCTGAATCCAGGAAGGCAAAGTTCATTTGCATCTTGTAACTGCTGACAAAGGTGTCCCAAATAAGAAGTATCCCCATAAAGTTTCTACAAAATCCGAATGTACACACTAGCATCCCTGATGAAGGAAAGAAATTCTGCAGAGCAGAAGGGACTTATCCAAGAATTCTTCAGTAATCAATCTGACTATGTGACTTTTCAGACAGCTCACTGGTGAGATTTTAACTTCAATTCAGTTGGACAAACATATTATGCAACTACTACAAACCAGGCAGTTTGGCTGATACTAAGAAACCAAGAGGATTCTTATCATTGGAAACAAAATAATTAACTGAAAATGGAATTCATCTACTAAAAAGGGCTTTCCACTTTTAAAATACATGACCAGCAGAAGCATAAAATCATCACCAATGCCCATTAAGTTGGCATTGTAGATTATAAATCAGTTCCTACATGTAGTATGTTCTTCCCAAGTAACATCAGTGGAGCCTCTGATCTTGCAAATGATTCAGACATCCCTGCTGCAACAACCACAGGCGGCCCCTCTGTGATAGCATCTATCCAACTTAACCATTTCTTTTTTAAATTTTTGAGATGGAGTCTCACTCTTGTCACCTAGGCTGGAGTGCAGTGGCACGATCTCAGCTCACTGCAACCTCTGCCTGCCAGGTTCCACTGATTCTCCTGCCTCAGCCTCCCAAGTAGCTGGGATTACAGGCGTGTGCCACCATGCACAGCTAATTTTTTTTTTTTTTTTTTTTTTTTGAGACGGAGTCTTGCTCTGTAGCCAGGGCTGGACTGCAGTGGCGGGATCTCAGCTCACTGCAAGCTCCGCCTCCCGAGTTTACGCCATTCTCCTGCCTCAGCCTCCGGAGTAGCTGGGACTACAGGCGCCCGCCACCTCGCCCGGCTAGTTTTTTGTATTTTTAGTAGAGACGGGGTTTCACCGTGTTAGCCAGGATGGTCTCGATCTCCTGACCTCGTGATCCGCCCGTCTCGGCCTCCCAAAGTGCTGGGATTACAGGCTTGAGCCACCGCGCCCGGCCTAATTTTTGTATTTTTAGTGGAGATGGGGGTTTCACCATGTTGCCCAGGCTAGTCTCGAACTCCTGACCTCAGGTGATCTGCCCACCTTGACCTTCCAAAGTGCAAGGATTACAGGCGTGAACCACTGTGCCTGGCCTCTTTTTAAAAAACATTCCTAGTTTTAAAAAACTTTTTCTGCTGGCACCTTGCTCTTGGAGGAACCATTTCTGTTTTTCTTTTTTTTGAGACAGAGTCTTGCTTTGTTGCCCAGGCTGGAGTGCAGTGGCACAATCTCGGCTCACTGCAACCTCTGCCTCCTGGTGGGCTTAAGCGATTCTCCAGCCTCAGCCTCCCAAGTAGCTGGGATTACAGGTGTCTGCCACCACACACGGCTAATTTTTGTATTTTTAGTAGAGATGGGGTTTTGCCATGTTGGCCAGGCTGGCCTCGAACTCCTGACCTCAGGTGATCCCAAAGTGCTGGGATTACAGGCGTGAGTGGCATGTTTTCTTTTTACTGATAATGATTTCAAACAGCAATGTTTCTGAACAGCCTGATTTTACAGAACAAAATTTCTCAACGAACCATTTCTTTATCACAGATTTCACATTTCAAGAAAATACTAGCACTCACCGGTCGGTAGTGAAAATGTACCCCACAAAATCCTTACAGCTTAACAGCAGGACACTGAAGGCTACAGCAAAGAGCACTGAGGGTAAAAACGGCAGAAGAAACAACACGGTGAGCAAGAAGATCCACAGGAAGTGGGGGAGCCTGGGCTTTGCATGGAGAGACTGCACCAAGAGCCTCGGGTAAAGGGGTCTCAGCACCTGTGATTAGTAGGGAAACGGTGGAGGACTTCCGTGCCTGCTCCATGTCTCCAGCACCCAGAGCGTTTCCTACCCGGACACTGGCAGCCACGCTGAAGCCTGCAGGGACCTAAAATGAAAAGGAAACCTGCAACAACGAATCTGCAGAGTGAGAACACGTGCACAGCAGCAGCCTCAAGTCTCACACCTGGTGGGAAAACTTGGTCCTGAAAGTTTTGAAAAGACTGATTTGCAACATCCCCTTTGTCTAGCTGGGAGCTCCCATGCTACTGTGGAAACCGAACCCCAGGTTAGGATGCTTAGCACAAACTGGGCTTTGCTGCAGAGCTTCCAACCTCTACAACACGAGGGTGCTGCACAACCATGTTCCTCCTCTGGGTGTGGGAGATGGACTGACTCACCAGGAGCCCAGGTTTGTGTTTTTTTTATTGTTGTTGTTGTTGTTTGTTTTTTTTTTAATAGGACAGAGGCCAGGCGCGGTGGCTCATGCCTGTAATCCCAGCATTTTGGGTGGCCGAGGCGGGCGGATCACTTGCGGTCAGGCGTTTCAGACCAGCCTGGCCAACATGGTGAAACCCCGTCTGTACTAAAAAATACAAAACTGGCCGGGCGCGGTGGCTCAAGCCTGTAATCCCAGCACTTTGGGAGGCCGAGACGGGCGGATCATGAGGTCAGGAGATCGAGACCATCCTGGCTAACACGGTGAAACCCCGTCTCTACTAAAAAATACAAAAAAAACTAGCCGGGCGAGGTGGCGGGTGCCTGTAGTCCCAGCTGCTCGGGAGGCTGAGGCAGGAGAATGGTAAACCCGGGAGGCGGAGCTTGCAGTGAGCCGAGATCGCACCACTGCACTCCAGCCTGGGCGACAGAGCGAGACCCTGTCTCAAAAAAAAAAAAAAAAAAAAAAAAAAAACTTAGCTGGGCATAGTGGCACACGCCTGTAATCCCAGCTACTCAGCAGGCTGAGGCAGGAGAATCGCCCGGGAGGCGGAGGTTGCAGTGAGCCGTGATAGTGCCACTACACTCCAGCCTGGGTGACAGAGTGAAACTCCATCTCTAAATAAATAAAATCAAATAGGGACAGGGTCTCATTGTGTCCCTCAGGCTGGAGTGCAGCGGCACAGTCATAGCTCACTACAGCCTCGACCTCCTGGGCTCAAACGATCCTGCATCCTCAACCTCTCAAGTATCTGGGATGGCAGGCATGTGCCACCACACACGGCACAGTGTCTATTCTGAAAGACTATCAAGGGATCCAGTTTACAAGACAGGACTGGCACTAAAGGAACTGCAGGGAAGAAACCCTGCATTGTGGTTAGGGGTCACAATTCTGAAGCCAGATGGCTATGGCTTGGGTTCAAATCCCAGCACAGCCACTTTATCAGCTGCATCACCCTGAGCAAGTTACTTACCCTCTCTAAACCTCCAGAGTTTTGTTTTATCTGTAAAAGGAGTTGAATCGGCTGGGCGCGGTGGCTCACGTCTGTAATCCCAGTACTTTGGGAGGCCGAGGCGGGTAGATCACGAGGTCAGGAGATCGAGACCAGCCTGGCCAATATGGTGAAACCCCGTCTCTACTAAAAAATACAAAAAAATTAGCCGGTCGTGGTCGCGGGCGCCTGTAGTCCCAGCTACTCGGGAGGCTGAGGCAGGAGAATGGCGTGAACCCAGGAGGTGGAGCTTGCAGGGAGCCGAGATCGCGCCACTGCACTCTAGCCTGGGTGACAGAGTGAGACTCCATCTCAAAAAATAAAATAAAATAAAAAAGGAGTTTAATCATAGAACCTATCTCATTGGGCTATTGTGGGAACTTAATGAGTCCATACACGCCTAACTGCTTAGAAGCAGCATGTAGGAATTGCTCAATAAAGATTTACCATTACTATTATTTATATATAAAGTTACCACTTGAAAAATTAATATTAATAAGGAAAAAGGAGTCATCACTTGTTGAAACATGAACATTGCCTTAGGATCAGGATGACTAAGGACCAGCTTAAAGAAAATCTGATACACAGATTGAGGAATAAAAAAGTAATGGAAGACTGAGTCTCTGCCTATAAATTCATAAGCAGGGACAAACATAGAGATCACCTGACAAATTATTTATTTATTACAAAGGGAAAGGCAGTAACTTGACAGGAGAAACCTGGCAGGCACCACCTTAACCAAGCAATCAAAGTTAATACTGGCAGGGTGCAATGGCTGTGCCTGTAATCCCAGCACTTTGGAAGGCCAAGGTGGAAGGACTGCTTGAGCCCAGGAGTTTGAGACCAGCCTATGCAACATAACAAGACCAAATTGTTTTAAAAAATTAGCTGGGAGTGGTGGTACATGCCTGTAGTCTCAACTACTCAGGAGGCTGAAGTGGGAGGATTGCTTGAGCCCAGGAGGTCGGACTGTAGTAAGCCAAGATCAGGCCACTGTCACCAGCCTGGGTGACAGAGCAAGATGTTGTCTCAAAAAAAAAAACAAAACAAAACAAAACAAAAAAACACCACCACCAAGTAAAAAGGTAGTATCACCAACACTGAGACAGATCAACATTCTGTGTCTCCTGATATGGTGCACTAAGGAGGACACAGCATCACTTCTCTAGCTTTCCTGCCCAAAACGGACAATCTAAATTTACTTATAAGGAAACATCAGCTGCACCACACTGAGTGAACTTCTACAGATAATGGCCTATGTTCTTCAAAAATGCCAAGGTCAAGAAAGACAATGGAACAATGAAGATCTGTTCCAGATTAAAGGACACTAAAGATGCTAGGGGAAAATTAGTGATAAGGGACATTACCAGAACAACTGGTATTGTTTTGAATTGACTGTATTGATATTTTATTTGAACATGGACTATGTAGATAGACCAGACAGAATAAATGTGGCAAAACTGGTGAACCTGAGGAAAGGGCATACATCTTTCTTTTGATTGAGAAGAAATGTAAGTGTAAATTCTTACAAGCCTATTGGAAAGCATATGAAAACATATTCAAAAGACATAAAATCGTGCCTTTGTTTCTCTTTTACAAATCTTAAAGAAATAATCAGACAAGTGTATGAAGATATTTGTCCTAGGATGTTCCTTGAAGAGTTGTTAATATTGAAACATTGGAAATAAACTGTTCAACCATAGGAAATTGATTTTAAAAGTATATCACATATAGTAGAATCCTATGTACCATTAAGCATTTTGACTTAGAATTAGTTAATGAATTTACTCAAACATAAAATGTAAATAAAATACTAAAAGTGAAGTAAAAAATCTGTGTTAAAAAACTGCCAAGGATAGAAGAACAAAACAAAAAACAGGTCTGCGAGAGAATAATTCTTAAAGAAAACGGGAAATGTGTACTCTATGTACTTTTAAAACATAACCAATATCAGAGGGAAAAAAATCTAAGTGTTAATACTGCAAAAAATGCCAAGCACATCTGCTGGCTTGAGTTTCTCCCCACATTACAAACTCCCTTTCTGTTTTTTAATTTTACATTTCTAAAACGGTACTTGCTTCCTTCAGAATCTCCAGCTGATGTTTTCAGGAAAATAAAGTCAAAGAAAAGCCTCCTAACGACTGGTGTTCTCTATGATCAAAATTTCCTCCCCTTTAAGGCTGAATAATACTCCACAGTATGCGAAGAACCCATTTTGTTTACTCGCAGACACACAGGTTGCTTCCACCTTCTGTCTACTGTCAATAATGCTCCTGTGAACACAGTTAACAAACACCCCTTTAAGTCGGCTGCAGTGGCTCACGCCTGTAATCCCAACACTTTGGGAGGCCGAGGTAGGTGGATGGCCAGAGGTCACAAGTTCAAGACCAGCCTGACCAACACGGTGAAACCCTGTCTCTACTAAAAATACAAAAGTAGCTGGGCGTGGTGGCAGGCACCTGTAATCTCAGCTACTTGGGAGGCTGAGGCAGAAGAAATGCTTGAACCCAGGAGGTGGAGGTTGCAGTGAGCCAAAATCACGCCATTGCACTCCAGCCAGGGCAACAAGAGTGGGACTCCGTCTCAAAAAAAAAAAAAAAAAAAAAAAAAACTCACAAGACCCTGCTTAAAAAAAAAAAAAAAAAAAAAAATCTCTTTAAGACCCTGCTTTCAGTTGTTTTGGGGATCTACTTAGGAGTAGCCACACTGTGTTTTCAGAGGCTTCAGAACCAGGCAGGAGCGGGAATAGTGACATAGGCAGCTTGATGTTTATGGTCATACACCCAGCCTCATCCCTCTGCTATGCCACCCACCTGGCCCCTCAAGGTATTTGTGCTGTGACAACTGAAAAAGATTCTAAAAGTATGGAAACAAAATCAAATCTTTCAAGGGAAGATTCAGCTGGGAGCTGCGTTAGGAGATGGAGAACCAGCAGATCATGTGCAGTTTCTCTCCAGCCCCGCTTAAGTTCCCAGGGAAGATCCAGCTGTAGCAGAGGTACCCTCCCAGGCTCAAGGATGGGATGTGACTTTTGTTCATCATTTCACAAATGATTCATGTACAAATGCCTGTGCTCATCCATGGACGCTTTCAGATACCCAGCAAGGAAAACGCCTGGCACCTCCCCACGACCGGCTCCCCTGCTTACCATGTACACAACGATGGCCAGCTCATACACGATGGACTGAGCTCCCAGCTCCACCATGCCGAGGATGCCTGGTGAAAAGAGACAGCTGTCGCCTTGCACCCAGACAGGGCCCCCGGGTTCCCACCAGTCCCCGTCATCCGTCCTCATACAGACCGCTGAGGAAGCTCCCGACCTCATAGGCCCACCACTCCATGCATAGCATGAGCATGCTGGGGATGGCCAGGCGGAGGAAGGAGGCCCAGTCCTGCAGGCACTCGAGGGACCAACCTGTGGGCGGGACACACACATTGCCAGGAGATCTGGCCCCATCGGGCTGGAATTCAACCCGAGACAAAACCCACGTCCCAGTTGGAAGACAAAAGGGCAGTCGTTACCTCCCCATGTAGCTTGATGCAGTTTTTTCCCAAGGATGTAGAAAAAGAGGAGTAGAGCCAGGGTGTACTGGGAAATCAAATTTGCCAGTGCAGAGCCTCTGGAAAGAACAGTCCCAGTGAGAGGGAGGTACCTTCCTGCGCCTCTCCCTGCCCCACTGGGTGAGGAGGGGAGACTCATCCCTTCCCGTACCGTCCTCAGCAGACCAAGGTCTTCTTCCCAGAGCAGCCTCACCCTCCATCCCTGACAGTGCTTTCCACGGTGTGCAAGAAAGAGACCACGTGTGAACACGAGAACCAGCTGAAGAGCCCACTCTTCTCCCTCCTGGAAAAACCACATGCAAGTCATCCCTTGTCCCTGTCCCAAGAGTACATTGGACTCACATCACCCCAAGATGCAGCTGATGGAGAAACAGATAGTTGGCGAGGGCATTGACAAGGTTGGCTGCAACTCCAGTTACGATCTGGGGCAGGAGAATTCCCTGGAACAAGGACACCGCATATGCCATCCTTGAGATCCACAGAATAGGACTGCCTTTCTGCTACCCAAGCACACAGGCTCCAGCTGGCCTGCTCAGTGGGTGTCACGGGCAGAGCAGGGGGTCTTAACTTAGGGGAGGCCACGTCTTGGTTGCTCCTGCCTTTCCACTCTCCCATCCCTTTCTCTTCCTTCTCTCTTTGAGGTATGAAGTGCGGCGTTCTGGCCACAGAGAGACACAGACGAGATACGTTCAGCAGCAGAGAAGGAAGAAGATAAATGGCTTATTTCCAGCATTGCAAGGACTGGCAGTGGCTAAATGGGTCAACAAGCCATCTTTGACACCGGACGATAGGAGGAAATGAGAATACTTTCTTAACCAACATAGAAATTCAAAAAAATTGACCTAAGGTCTTGAAGAAACTAGAGTTCCTTTCTAGAATATGGAAGGGATTCCAACATATCTAACTCTCAAAAGTACAGGACCAGAGAAACATCCAGACTATTTGGTGTGTCAAAGTAAGACCAGGCGTGAAAGTAAAATTACATCAGACCGAGGAAGTAAAACTGTTCTGCTCCGCATCCGGCTAGAATAGCAGACGCAAATAAAGTCAGTGCAAACGTAAGAGGAAATCTTTCTCCCAAGGTCACGCTGTCCCCATAAAGTGTCATTACTCCCCTAGTAGAATGACGAGTGCTTTCTGACTCATTGAGAAACTTTGTTCTCTAAAATCACACTGTTTGGAAACACTGCTGTTTGAAATTGTATCAGTAAAAAGGAAACACCCCACTCTTGCCTGCAGGCTCAAAATCACTTGAACACAAAAAAGTAGTCTCAATTTGAAGCCAGGCACAGAGCTTCGTGGGAGCTCCTGGATGTGGCATTCTACATCTGTCCAACCTCAACATCCTTCTTAGCCTTCAGTTTCCAAAGGAGGAGCACTGGGTCCACATCACAGCCCAGACCTGGTGTTGGGCCCCTCACTCACAGATCTGCTCGGTGCCTATCAAACCATGGTTTTGATATGTTTCATAATGTCACCTGAGCCCCATCCTTCTTCAAACCTTTATAATAACTTTTCTTCCTTTAGTGAGGCCTCCCCCGGCCCCTCTAGTCTCTCTCATTGCCACAGGTTGATAAATCCAACTGGAAACCCACTGGCCTGCAGGCCTGTCTCTGGTGGTCTCAGGCTGGTGGGGCCAAGACAATGGTCTGGGCCAATGACTTGTGTAGGTCACATATTTATGGGGAGGCCCTGGTTAGTTTTTAGCAAGGGAATTAGTGATTAGATTTACTTTTCAGGCAGACAGCAGTGGATGGAGACAGGTTAAGGTCCTCTGAAATGACACAGAGGACAAATGACAAGAAATGAATTCAGGGCTGGGCGCGGTGGGTCACGCCTGTAATCCCAGCACTTTGGGAGGCCAACGTGGGCGGATCACCTGAGGTCAGGAGTTTGAGACCAGCCTGGCCAACATGGTGAAAACCCGTCTCTACTAAAAATACAAAAACTAGTGGGCACGGTGGCACACGCCTGTAGTCCCAGCTACTTGGGAGGCTGAGGCAGGAGAATCACTTGAACCTGGAAGGTGGAGGTTGCAGTGAGCCGAGATCACGTCACTGCACTCCAGCCTGGGCAACAGAGGGAGACTCTGTCTCAAAAAAAAGAAAAGAAAAGAAAAGAAAGAAATGAATTCAGGTGGTGGCATTGAGAATTGGGAGGAGCAGGCAGAAGCTAAAGGACCAGGTGACTGACCAGATGTGGGAGGGAAGGAAAGATGGAGTCGAGGATGTGACAGGGACCCAAAGGACAGGTTACTGGGAGTGAAAATGGGGAGGCCACGCAATTCCACCCATTGCAATGGAATGGAAGAAGGCAGAAGAGCAGGCTCGTGGGAGGACGAGAGGAGGCGGCCAAGCCTGCAATACGCATGCGTCTCCATGCCCAGTGGAGTGACCTTCTCCTCCAAGGTCCTCTTGACTCTCCTACTTCAAAGTCTGTCTTCTCCCTAGTACCATCTGGCTCTCTTCCCACCCTCCGCCCTCTCCGAGAGCATTCACTTTCTCCAAACTCCCAGCTGCTTCTCTTCGGTGCTACACTCAGCGAATGGTCACCCTGTCTTCCTAGGGAAGGGCCCAGGGCAGAAACTCCTTCCACCCTGGGGGCCTGACAGCCCCTGCCATTTCTATAGAACCCACCCATCATCCTATCTCCCACTGCTCCCACAACGCAAACTCTTCATCACAGACCTTCACCATCATTTGTTTGGACCATGTCCGTAACTCTCACCTCTTCCTCTCCCTATTAGTTAATTTCCCAAAACGAAATGCCCCAGCAGAGAACACAAAGCCTGAGCCTGGGCCAGCCCGCCTCTCAATGCCATCATCTCACTGCGTCCCCTCCCACTGTAGTGGCCTAACGAGACTCGGCGGGCCCCAGCCCCTAGAAACAGGCATCCCCTCTGTCTGGGATGCCCTGCCTTCCTTCCTGACCTTGGAAACCCCACGTGTCCTCTGTCACCAAATTCAAAACTCCCAACCCCTCTCAGCTCGTGGCTCCTGCTTCCAGGTTTTCCCTGTGCCCCAGAGAACAGGAGAGAAGACTTTTACACTCACTGTCCTCAGTAGGTCACATGAGACCCTGAGGTTAGGGCCACCGCAGTTGTTGGGGGACTGAGTCTGGGAGAAGGCCTTGCAGAGTGTTAAGGTATCCGTGCTGAATTAGCAAGGGTCTAGATCAAAAGGAGACAGCCCAGAGCCGGATGAGATGTGTGAGTTTCTTTCTCTCTAGTCTACACCTATTTCGGAGATGTCATTCTAAATACTAATAGGGATTCTAAATATTCTTGTTTTGTTGATAGAGTAATATCCTGGCCGGAGGCAGTGGCTCACACCTGTAATCCCAGCATTTTGGGAGACTGAGGCAGGAGGATTTCTTGAGGCCAGGAATTTGAAATCAGCCTGGGCAACATAGCAAGACCCCATATCTCCTTTAAAAACTTTTTTTTTTTTAAATAGGGTAATATCTTAACTTTAAGAACACTGCATAGGTGGGAAACTTCCTTTCTTCCTCCTCCCATCCTGGCCCCCCCTGTTGCACATCCCTGGAGAGCCCACCAGTGCGGCCGGGATCCATTGCCGGGTACCCCTGTTTACCCGGACTTATCTGGAAGAATAAGTCCCACATACGCTGATTTCATAAATCTACCCCTTCCAAGCCAGGGCCTTTGGCCGTGACTGTTTAATCACATAGGAGGAGTTCTGGCTGATGTTAGGTGTCATGAGAGTTTGAGCTCTTATATCCTCGCTGAGAAAAGTGGGGACATTCAGACAGCACAGAGCAGACAGACGGGTTCCCTCTCTACCAGACGAGCCGCCCCCAGCCTGCGCTCTGTCTCGGGAGCAAACAGGCATGCACCCTTCTTTCCAGGACACTGGTTAAAATGCAGAGCCAAGGAACACTGCGGCTCTGAGCCCACCCTGCCAATGACAATATTTCCAAGTGGAAATTGGATACGTTTTCCAGAGCCAAATATAATATGTTCTTTCCTGGATATCACTTAACAAACCTCTGACATCCGAGTCGTGTGTGCACAACAATGAAAAAATACCTTTCAGTGGCTCCCAGCGGTGAGCTCCCTCCACCCTGGTGTCCCTGGTCCTGGAGTATCTTCAGGACCCCCACTCCCAGAAAGGTACAAACTCCCATTAGCCTCCCAAAGGAAGAGAACAGTCAGTATTACCTGGTTGAGCAAATATTTAACTTGTAGCGTATAAAGAAAGGTTGCCTACAAGAGAACAAGAGAGATGAATGTTAATGTTTCAGCCTTGCCACACAGCAGTGAGGTCACACGGCAGGGAGCTGGGAGCCACAGCCAAGGCTCGGCTGCCCTCTGCTCCCGCACGGAGCCACAGAGGCTGCCGTCTCAGGACAGGGCTGGGGCCAGGGGTTACGGCCCAGGGGCTTCCCACATCTCCTTTATGGGTGAATATGCCCCAAGCATATTCCCTCTGTCTGGCAAAAGGAGGTGCAGTTTCCCTGGGTGAATGGCCAGGACTCTTCTGGGGACACTGGCATGGAGAGGAGGCCCCGGGCACACTCCAGATGGGCACCTCCATAGAGACTGGTCCTATGTGGTGGCATCATGAAAGACTGTCACATTTACAAGGTTTCAGGATAAATAAGTGAGCACACTGTCAATTCTGAGGACAAATGGTGTCCCTAGATCCGTATATTGAAGCCCTAGTCCCCAGTGTGACTAACTGGAGGTCCTCAAAGGGAGATAAAATTAATATGAGGTCATTAGGGTGGGGCCCTAAGCCAATAGGACTGGTGTCCTCATAAGAAGACAGGAGACACCAGGGCATGAATGCATAGGGGACAACCTGCAGAGGGTGGCCGTCTGCAGGCCAAGGAGAGAGGCCGCAGAGGACACCAACCCTGCTGCGCCTTGACCTTGGACTTCCAGCTTCCTGAACTGTAAGAAAATAAACTTCTGTTGTTTAGGCCCTCTAGTGTGTGGTATTATATTATGGAAGCCCCCGCAGACTAATTCAGCTACAGTCTCCAGCTGAATAACAAACACTTAGCTCTCAGGCCAGGCGCGGTGGCTCACACATGCAACCCAACACTGTGGGAGGCCAAGGCAGACGGATCACTTGAACCCAGGAGTTTGAGACCAGCCTGGGAAACATGGTAAAATGCTGTCTCTACAAAAAATACAAAAATTAGCTGGGTATGGTGGTGTGCACCTGCAGTATCAGCTAATTGGGAGGCTGAGGTGGGAGGATCACTTGAGCCCGGGAGGCAGAGGTTGCAATGAGTGAAGATTGTGCCACTGCACTTCGGCCTGGGTGACAGAGTGACACCCTAGCTTAAAAAAAAAAAAAAAAAAAAAAGGCAAGACCTTGTCTCTACAAAAACTAAAAAATTAGCCAAGTGTGGTGACTTGTGCTTGTAGTTCCAGCTACTCAGGAGGCTGAGACAGGATGATGGCTTGAGCCCAGGAGGTCAAGGGTGCAGTGAGCTATGACAATGTCACAATGTCCCTGCACTTCAGCCTGGGTGACAGCATGAGACCCTGTCTCCAAAACACCAAACAAACAAACAAACAAAAAAAACCACTTAGCTCTCATTGTTCATTGACCACACACTGCTGTGTCAAACATTAACTCATGCTTACCGGTTCTGTGTGGTCAAACTCAGCAGACCAAAAAAAGTCTAAAGGTTCTAAGTGACACCCTCAGGGGTTCTCAGATGGGTGAGACTTTGCCCTTGTTTACAATAAAAGTTTGCACTCTTCTCTATGGATGATTCTGGAGGTCTCTCCAGTGCTACTCCAGACCTCCTGGAGTAGCCTCAATCTTGGTGCTCCTTGAGACAAACATCTGTTGTGTCCTTAACAGGCATAAATAAAAACAGGCTTCCTTGATGGGCACCAACAGCACAGATAAGAATCATCTAAGACTGAGCCAATGCACTGAGCTCACAGATATGGCGGCTACCTTTCACCCACGGACCCCAAGAAGGGAACCTCTTAGCCCTTAAGCACTTACAGGAAGAGCTGGAATGAAGATCGTGACATAGGTCTGGGTAAGCCTAAATAACGAAAAGAAAAACAAAAACAAAAACTGTGATGGAGGCCTCTGTTTCCAGGGAAAGGTGGGCAGAAGAAAATAACTAAAACTGCCTTTTGCATCCTTGGCTCTTTCGAAATTAATAGGCTTAAGTTGCTGGAGCAGGCCGGGCGCAGTGGCTCACGCCTGTAATCCCAGCACTTTGGGAGGCCGAGGTAGGCAGATCATGAGGTCAGGAGTTTGAGGCCAGCCTCGCCAACATGATGAAACCCCGTCTCTACTAAAAGTTCAAAACTTAGCCAGGCGTGGTGGCGGGCGCCTGTAATCCCAGCTACTCGGGAGCCTGAGGCAGGAGAATTGCTTGAACCCGGGAGGCAGAGGTTGCAGCGAGCCGAGATCGCACCACTGCACTCCAGCCTGGGGGAGAGAGCGAGACTTGGTCTCAAAAAACAAAAACAAAAACAAAAAACAACCCAGAATATTGAGTGGTAGGGAGCAGAGGCGCAGGTGGATTTGAAAGCACCCAGGTGATTTTAATATCAACCAAGGTCAAGAATAACTAAGCTTTGAGCAAACGTCACAAACTACCATCCCACATGCAGAGTGCTTGCAAATCTATTTTCATTGAAAACTCTTAACCATGCAAGTCGCCCAGGAGGGGAGGGGGAGTACATCTTAGGTGCCAGGTGAGGAAAGTATTAAGACCTAGGAGATGTCAGCCAAGGAGAGATTAGCACCACCTTGGTGTGCGGCCTTGTCCCTGGCCTTGGCTGCACCCAGACGGGATAATCTTTCTGTGGGACGGACACACAGTCCCGCCGTGACAGGTTCCATCTTACTTGGACACTTCCGGGTCCTGCCTGAAGAGCAGCAGGATGTGCTGGGTGTTGAGAAACAGCGCCCAGCAGGGGAAGCAGCAGAGGAGCAGAATGAGTGTACTCCGCTGTAGGATCACGCCCACGTGCTTCAGGTTCTGGCTCCCGTACGTCTGGGGTGCACACAGCCAAAATGAACCCATTAGCACAGACCCAGCACCCCAACTGTCCCCTAAAAGCCTTCAATTGTGCCTCATAAAGAAGCAGGTTGGCTGGGTGAGGTGGCTGACGCCTGTAATCCCAGCTACTCAGGAGGCTGAGGCAGAAGAATCGCTTGAACCCGGGAGGCAGAGGTTGCAGTGAGCTGAGATCATGCCACCGCACTCCAGCCTGGGGGGCAGAGCAAGACTCCTTCTCAAAAAAAAAAAAAAAAAAAAGAAGCCCATAGCCCTAGAGACTTTGCCCCAGTGTTTAGGTAGGATGAGGATGGTGTGAAGGATGCTTCTCAAACTCAGCTTCCATTAGCATCATCATTTTCAAAACTCTGAGGCCAAGGTCTCACTAATGACATTCTGGACTTAATTCACCCAGGGCAGGATTCAGAGATCCATACCTTTTTTAAAAAAAAATTCTATTTAAAACAATTTTTCTTTTTACAGAAGTAAACAATCTGAAATTCACACTTCATTTATTTTTAGAGACTGGAAAAAAATTTTTTTTAGGGAGGCAAAGGTTACAGGGAGCCGAGATCCCGCCACTGCACTCCAAGCTGGGCAACAGAGCCAGAGTCCGTCTCAAAAAAAAAAAAAAAAAAAAAAAAAAGCCAGGCTGGGCACTGTGGCTCATGCCTATAATCCCAACATGTTGGGAGGCTGAGGTAGGAGGATTGCTTGAGCCCAGGAGTTTGAGATCAGCCTGTGCAACATGGCAAAACCCCATCTCTACAAAAAATACAAAAAATTAGCTGGGTGTAGTGGCGCATGCCTGTAATACCAGGTACTTGAGAGGCTGAGGCAAGAGGATCGCTGGAGCTCAGGAGTTCGAGGCTGCAGTAAGCAATGGGTGTGCCACTGCAGCCTAGCCTGAGCGACAGAGCAAGCCCCTGTCTCAAAACAAAACAAGTCAAATTTCGCACATCTTTTCAAGTTGTGCGCATCTCCTCCAGCTCCAGGTTCAGTGACATCTCTGGTAGTCTGAAATTAACCAGAGGAACTACTTACACCCCTGGAATTGGCAAACACTGCCAGTCATGTGTTTCCCTCCTTCCGCTTTCACCCTCCTTCCCCTTTCACCCAAGACCTGGTGAACATTTATCAGCCTGCCACTGGGTGGGGCCAGGCAAGCTGGGTTTTAACAAGCCCTCCAAGTTCAATGCACGCTCAATTTTGAGAGCCACAGAACTACAGCAAATTCAAACGTAGGGAGCAATAGAAGGGAATTTTACAAAATGTCCCCTATGTGATCAAAATATAGTGTAAGGCAGTTGTGCAGACAAAAACTAGTTGACACAGCTGAGAGAAACCCAATGACATTTCAAAGAAAGCAGGCCAGGAGAAGAGGAGCTGCCGGCCAATAGGCACTGCAGGTGCTGGCTGCTGGGCTCTTCCTGCCAGTGGGGCTCTTCCATCCACACTTGAGAAAAGATGTCTGACATCACTGTGAGCGTGTGACCACTGCCATTTACCTGGGAGATGAGGGTGTCACAAGCAGAAGATAAGCCGAATCCCACTGAGACACCAGTGACATTGATAACCTGCAAATAAACCCAAAGATAAGGCCCTGTAGAGTGAAAGGAGGAAAGGAAGACAAAATCCCTGTGTCTGTTGATGAGAACCTGCAAAGCTCCTCCTTCAGCATTCACAAGTCAATTTTACCGACTTTGTTAGCTGCCTGGACCCCGCTCAGACTGAAGCCATTCTCACAGGTTTATCAAGAATTCTGGCCAGGCGCGGTGGCTCAAGCCTGTAATCCCTGCACTTGGGGAGGCCGAGATGGGCAGATCATGAGGTCAGGAGATCGAGACCATCCTGGCTAACATGGTGAAACCCCGTCTCTACTAAAAAATACAAAAAACTAGCCGGGCGCGGTGGCAGGCGCCTGTAGTCCCAGCTACTCAGGAGGCTGAGGCAGGAGAATGGCGTAAACCTGGGAGGTGGAGCTTGCAGTGAGCTGAGATCTGGCCACTGCACTCCAGCGTGGGCGACAGAGCGAGATTTCGTCTCAAAGAAAAAAACAGAAAAAAAAAAAAAAAGAATTCTGGACAGAATTATTTTATATATATGTGTGTATGTGTGTGTATATATATGTGTGTGTGCATGCATATATGTGTGTGTGTGTACATATATATATACACACACACACTTTTTTTTTTTTTTTTTTGAGACGGAGTCTCACTCTGTCGCCCAGGTTGGAGTGCAGTGGCGCAATCTCGGCTCACTGCAACCTCCCCCTCCCGGGTTCAAGCGATTCTCCTGCCTCAGCCTCCCGAGTAGCTGGGACTACAGGCGTGTACTACCACAACTGGCTAATTTTTGTATTTTACCGGCTAATTTTTGTATTTTTAGTAGTGAAAGGGTTTCACTATGTTAGCCAGAATGGTCTCAATCTCTTCACCTCATGATCTGCCCACCTTGGCCTCCCAAAGTGGTGGGATTACAGGCGTGAGCCACCCCGCCCAGCCCAGAACTACAGTATTAATCAGGCTGCACTTTGACCCATTTCCTTAAAACTGAAAGTCATGTGGCACCAGACATTGACCATGTACATCCCCAACTGTTCCCCCAAGACATAGCCAATGCATCCCACTGTTCCTACCAGACACTGGCCTGCCGTGCATCCCCCACTGTTCCTACAAGACACTGGCCACGTGCATCCCCACTGTTCCTACCAGACACTGGCCACAGCTCTCTGTCCTATTCCTACCAGACACTGGCCACGTGCATCCCACTGTTCCTACCAGACACTGACACGTGCATCCTGTTCCTACCGGGCACAGCCACGTGCATCCCCACTGTTCCTACCAGACACTGGCCACGTGCATCCCCCACTGTTCCTACCCAGACACACAGCCACGTGCATCCCACTGTTCCTACCTGACCTGCAGCCACGTGCATCCCCACTATTCCTGAACACTGTACAGTGCATCTCCACTGTTCCTACAGACACTGGCCACGTGCATCTCCACACTATTCCTACCAGACACCGGGCCACGTGCATCCCCTGTTCCTGCAGACACCCAGCCTTAGCCATCCCCACTGTTCCTGCAGACACTGGCCATGCTGCATCCCCTGTTCCTACCAGACACTGGCCATATGCATCCCCACTGTTCCTACAGATACAGATTTCTGGTGTTACAATCATAAAGGCTATTATTTAAGAATTGTTGGCGGGTGTGGTGGTTTATGCCTGTAATCCCAGCACTTTGGGAGGCCAAGGTGGGAGGATCACTTGAGCCCAGGAGTTTGAGACCAGCCTAGGCAGCATGATGAAACGATCATCTCCACAAGTACAAAAACTAGCAGGCATGGTGGCACGCTCACTGCAGTCAGCTATTTCCGGAGGCTGAGGTGGAAGGATCGCCGAGCCCAGAGCAAGTTACAGTAAACCAAGATTACACCACTGCACTCTGCTTCGACAATGATTTAAGCTCAAAAAAAAAAAAAAAAAAAAAATCTGGCTGGGTGTGGTGGCTCACGTCTGTAATCCCAGCACTTTGGGAGGCCTAGGTAGGCAGATCACGAGTCAGGAGTTTAGGACCCAGCCTGACCAATACGGTGAAACCCCATCTCTACTAAAAATACAAAAATTAGCCAGGCGTGGTGGCAGGCGCCTGTATTCCCAGCTACTCAGGAGGCTAAGCCAAGAGAATCACTTGAACCCGGGAGGCAGAAGTGGCAGTGAGCTGAGATCGTGACACTGCTCTCAGCACAGGCGACTGACGAGACTCTGTCTCAAAAAAAAAAAAGAATTATTAAGCAGAGCCTAATTCCAGTGAAACATCAGCCACCAGCAGTTTGAAGACCCACAGAGGAACTGAATCAGCATGAGAACACAGTTTCTTCATCACCCTGTCCCATGACTTCACGCTGCACTCTTCAGCCAAACAACAATCCCCTTCAATGATAAAACCCTTAAAAACTCTAGCCCCAAACTCCTTGAAGACATGATTTTAGGATTTCCTCATTCCAGTGGCCTTACAATTAAACCTCTTTCACTGTTGCAACCTGGCGTCTTGGATTATTGACTTGCCATGCCACGTGCATCCCCACTGTTCCTACCAGACACTGGCCACGTGCATCTCCACTGTTCCTACCAGACACTGGCCACGTGCATCTCCACTGTTCCTACCAGACACACGGGCCACGTGCATCCCCACTGTTCCTACCAGACACTGGCCATGTGCATCCCCACTTTTGAGACGGAGTCTCACTCTGTCGCCCAGGCTGGAGTGCAGTGGCGCAATCTCGGCTCATACCGCAACCTCCCCCTGGCTCCGGCCGATTCTCCTGCCTCAGCCTCCTGAGTAGCTGGGACTACAGGCGGTACTACTACAACTGGCTAATTTTTGTAGTTTATCGGTTATTTTTGTGTATTTTTAGTAGGAAAGGGTTTCACTATGTTAGCCAGAATGGTCCCAATCTCTTCACCTCATGACTGCCCACCTTGGCCTCCCAAAAGTGTGGATTACAGGTGGAGCCACTCCCGCCCAGCCCAGAACTACAGCAGTATTAATCTGTCAGGCTGCACTTTGACTCCATTTAAAACTGTGTCATGTGGCACCAGACATTGACCATGGAAGACTCACTGTCTTACTACAGACACTGGCCACGTGCATCCCCACTGTTCCTACTTTAGACACTGGCCACGTGCATCCCCACTGTTCCTACCAGACACTGGCCACGTGCATCCCCACTTTCACCTCACCAGACACTGGCCACGTGCATCCCCACTGTTCCTACCAGACACTGGCCACGTGCATCCCCACTGTTCCTACCAGACACTGGCCACGTGCATCCCCACTGTTCCTACCAGACACTGGCCACGTGCATCCCCACTGTTCCCTACCAGACACCGGGCCACGTGCATCCCCACTGTTCCTACTTCAGACATCACATGCATCCCCAATTGCTCCTGGCCACACTGGCTACGTGCATCCCCACTGTTCCTACTAGACACCGGGCCACGTGCATCTCCACTTGCTCCTTTACCAGGAGCACATCACACATGTGCATCTCCACTGTTCCTACCAGACACACGGGCCACGTGCATCCCCACTGTTCCTACCTTTCAGACACTGGGCCATGTGCATCCCCACTGTTCCTACCAGACACTGCCATGTGCATCCCCACTGTTCCTACCAGACACTGGCCATGTGCATCCCCACTGTTCCTACAGATGGGATTTCTGGTGTTACAATCATAAGGCTATTGTTTAAGAATTGTTGGCCAGGTGTGGTGGTTTATGCCTGTAATCCCAGCACTTTGGGAGGCCAAGGTGGGAGGATCACTTGAGCCCAGGAGTTTGAGACCAGCCTAGGCAGCATGATGAAACGTCATCTCTACAAAAGTACAAAAACTAGCAGGCATGGTGGCACGCTCCTGCAGTCCCAGCTATTTCCGGAGGCTGAGGTGGAAGGATCACTTGAGCCCAAGAAGCAGAGATTACAGTAAACCAAGATTGCACCACTGCACTCTAGCCTGGGCAATGGGGACCCTGACTCAAAAAAAAAAAAAAAAAAAATCTGGCTGGGTGTGGTGGCTCACGTCTGTAATCCCAGCACTTTGGGAGGCCTAGGTAGGCAGATCACGAGGTCAGGAGTTTGGGACCAGCCTGACCAATACGGTGAAACCCCATCTCTACTAAAAATACAAAAATTAGCCGGGCATGGTGGCGGGCGCCTGTATTCCCAGCTACTCAGGAGGCTAAGCCAAGAGAATCACTTGAACCCGGGAGGCAGAAGTGGCAGTGAGCTGAGATCGTGACACTGCTCTCCAGCCTGGGCGACAGAGCGAGACTCTGTCTCAAAAAAAAAAAAAAAAAATTATTAAGCAGAGCCTAAATTCCAGTGAAACATCTGACACCAACCAGTTTGAAGACCCACAGAGAGGAACTGAATCAGCACGAGAACACAGTTTCTTCATCTCCCTGTCCCATGACTTCACGCTGCACTCTTCAACCAAACAACAATCACACTTCAGCCCATTCGAAAACCCTTAAAAACTCTAGCCCCGAACTCCTTGGAGAGACTGATTTTAGGTTTCCTCATTCAGTGGCCTTACAATTAAACCTCTTTCACTGTTGCAACCTGGCGTCTTGGATTATTGACTTGCCATGAGCAAGACGACAAACCTATTATGGTTACAAGATCTTGGCTGGGTTAAGGACACATACAAGTTTAGAAGCGGAAAAGTCCAGGCTAGAGGCGATTACCCAGCCTTTCTCTTTTAAAAAGTCACTTTGCGCCAGGCGCGGTGGCTCACGCCTATAATCCCAGCACTTTGGGAGGCCGAGGCAGGCGGATCACGAGGTCAGGAGATGGAGACCTTCCTGGCTAACACGGTGAAACTGCATCTCTACTAAAAAATACAAAAAATTAGCTGGGCATGGTGGCGGGCGCCTGTAGTCCCAGCTACTCGGGAGGCTGAGGCACGAGAATGGCGTGAACCCGGGAGGCGGAGCTTGCAGTCAGCCAAGATCGTGCCACTGCACTCCAGCCTGGGTGACAGAGCAAGACTCCGTCTCAAAAAAAACAAAAGTCACTTTGCTCTCCAATTTCAGCAATCAGGGACACTTCTTCTGGGAATGCAATGGCACAGTAGCACAGAAAAGTTCACCTGCTGGAGACCTAGCATGGCCTGCGTCCGTACCCTGGGGGGCACTGGGAGTGCAGAGGCAGTCTGAAGTCCAGGCTAGTGCCAGAGGTTTTTCAGGTGTGCTCACCTTCACCAGGGTTAGCAGCAAACCCTGAAGCTTTGGGGAGCCCAGGGCAGTGCCCCCCAAACTAGGGAGTGGTATCACAGGATGTCTGATGCGCTCCCTATCTGGAACCTGGTACCTCCACTTGATTCTACAGCAGGGAACCTGTGGACAACAGCCCAAACTGCACCCAGCCTGGAAGCACTGACTTTGGTCAGTCTTTGGCCACATCCTGCAATTTCTTGGCCAAAGAGAATCTGCTGAGTCTTGCTAAGTGCATTTCTGTCTTCTCCCCCATTGCAAATACAATACTTAAAAACAAAATGGATAATTAAGCCTGGGATTTATCCATGTTGCCCACTAAAGCCAAAATAAAATAAGCCATGCTGGGGCAGTGGCTCACGCCTGTAATCCCAACACTTTGGGAGGTCGAGGAAGGCGGATCACAAAATCCAGGAGTTCAAGACCCACCTGACCAACATGGTGAAACCCCATCTCTACTAAAAATACAAAAAATTAGCTGGGTGTGGTGGCGCATGCCTGTAATCCCAGGCTGAGGCAGGAGAATCGTTTGAACCCCAGAGGTGGTGGCTGCAGTGAGCCAAGATTGCACCACTGCACTCCAGATTGGGCGACAAAGCGAGACTCCATTTATAAATAAATAAATAAATAAATAAGCAAGCCATATGTACTCATAGCTAGTTCCACATATACTTGGTGACTAGTTCCCAGGCATCTTGCATAGTTCATGGGTAGCAAACTCAAATGCCTGGCAAGACCAGGCAGATCAAGTGAAACTGTGTCTCCGTCAGGGCAGGAGGAAAGGAAAGGGGAACATACACCTGCCCCAGAGCCACTGAATCCACTTTTCTAGAAATACCCTAACTAGACAAACCCAAACCCTTTGGTCTTGCGTGGCCAGGTGACAATTCCTGGCTGAGACTGATGACATGTCTCTGGTTTGGGGGAGTTCACATCTACTATACGGAGAGGATTTGCAGATCTTTCCAATTTTAAATTTGGACACAAAGATCTAGACTTTCACCTTCCAGACTCATTTCTAGATTAGGACTCTCAGTAAGACAGACAACTGAGGGGTGGGCATGGGGGGAGTCAGTTCCTCTGAGGAAGTCAGACTTCAACGCCCCTTTTACTGTTCCCCTCCCCAGGCTGTAGGACCAAGAGTGGGAACGAGTTCCATGGATTGGAAATAAGATGATGTAGGCCGGGTGCTGTGGCTCATGCCTGTAATCCCAGCACTTTGGGAGGCCGAGGCGGGTGGATCACCTGAGGTCAGGAGTTCAAAACCAGCCTGAGCAACAAGGTGAAACCCCGTCTCTACTAAAAATACAAAAATTAGCCAGACGTGGTGGCAGGCACCTGTAGTACCAGCTACTCAGGAGGCTGAGACGGGAGAATTGCTTGAACCCAGGAGGCACAGGTTGCAGTAAGCCGAGACTACACTACTGCACTCCAGCCTGGGTTGGAGGGAGACTCTGTCTGAAAAAAAAAAAAAAAAGAAATAAGATGATGTGAGGCTGGGCGCAGTGGCTCACGCCTGTAATCTCAGTACTTTCAGAGGCCAAGGCAGGTGGATTGCTTGAACTCAAGAGTTTAAGACCAGCCTGGGCAACATGGTGAAACCCCATCTCTACTAAAAATACAAAAATTAACCAAGTGTGGTGGCGCCTGCCTGTAACCCCAGCTACTCAGGAGGCCGAGGCAGGAGAATCGCTTGAACCCAGGAGGCAGAGGTTGCAGTGAGCCGAGATCGCACCATTGCACTCCAGCCTGGGTGACAGAGTGAGACTTCATCTCAAAAAAATAAAAATAAAAATAAATAAAATTTAAAAAATAGAAATGAGAAGATGTGGTAGACAGGATAATGCCCCCCAAGATGTCCCCATCCCAATCCCCAGAACCTAGGAATCTGCAAGGTTACACGGCATAAGGGAATTAAAGTTGCAGCACCTTGATTTTAGGCCATGAAACTCGCTTCAGGCTTCTGCACTCCAGCATGGTAAGAGAATAAGTCTGTGCAGGTTTCGACCACTACATTTTGGTGATTTGTTATAGTAGCAGCAGGAGACAAACACAGACAATGTTGGTAGACCTGCCAGAAAGCCCATACGTACCGCGATCGCCAGCGTGACTGCGTCCAGCTCCAGCTTGCCCAGGTGGCCACAGAACACGGAGCTTATGAAGCTGATCAGGAACACCATCAGCTGAACCAAGAACTGGGAAGAGAGGGGAACGGAAAGGGAGCTGAGTGCCCACCATCGCAGGGAAGCCTGGGGCCCCAAGAGTGACCCCGACCCAACAAGTCCAGTCAGAAGTAAAGAAATCCGACTTCAGTGAGCCTCTGCCACCTTTCACAGGCAAACGTGTAATTTCTGGGGCTGGGGATGGGAGGCTTTTTGAAATATTAAAACATGTATTTGCAACCACTGGGTCAGAATCACTTTTTTTGAGAACTTCCTAGCCTTTTCGGTTTTTCTTTTTTTTTTTTTTTTGTGACAGAGTCTCACACTGTCACCCGGACTGGGGTGCAGTGGTGTGATCTCGGCTCACTGCAACCTCCGCCTCCCAGGTTCAAATGATTCTCCTGCCTCAGCTTCCTGAGCAGCTGGGATTACAGGTGTGCGCCACCACGCCCACCTAATTTTTGGATTTCTAGTAGAGACGGGGTTTCACCATGTTGGTCAGGCTGGTCTCGAACCCCTGACCTCGTGATCCGCCCGCCTCGGCCTCCCAAAGTGCTGGGATTACAGGCATGAGCCACCGCGCCCAACCTGCCCTTTTGGTTTTTCGCTTCAGTTTCTCAAGCCATAGAGCACATTAAATTTCCTCTGAAATCTGCAGAGGCGGCCTTCTGGGATAACCCCCTTGTTATCCAAGATTCCTAGTGCAGACTGGAGGGAATGCAGCCTTCAACAACAAGAACTCATTCCAGCAAGGAAGTCCGTAGACCGGAGGAGCCAGAGGTAGCGATGAGATCGTCCATTTGGAGTCCCAGTGGGATCCGGACTCTCAGGGTGAAACATTACAGGCCTGCTGAACACCTTGCAATCTAGGAAGCCTCCGATGTGAGGGCAAATTCTGGAATATTGAACCATTCTTCCTCAGAATTCCAGGGGGCAATTCTATGAATTGCTCCACAGTGCTTTCACTACACGATTGGATAATGCGCTTATTTCTGGAAGTTAACTTAAAATCACCTCCTGCCCCCCACCCACTAGACCCAGGTCATCCAGTATCTTTCTTGAGGAAGCCTCTCTCCCCTGGCAGGCTACATGGCCCAAAATGGGGGGTTCGCCTGATCCCTGCTCCCTAGGAGAGAATGGGTGCCTAAGGATTTGCTGCTGCCGCCGCTGCCTGCATCTGCCCCATGAAGCTGGTACCCCAGAGTTGGTGATGCTGCTGCTGGTCCAGCCGCAAGGCCGTCTCTCGCCGCCCTCAAGGAGAACAGAATCCTCTGTGCTGAGCCCATAGAAAGGCCCCTCTTTTAGGGTTCCAATGACTTAGCTTCATTGGACCTCCACCAGGCTCACACACAGCCCATCTGCCAGCTCTGCAACCAACCCAAAATGGCTACATCAGGGCCTCATCAGGCCCCCGAGCCAAGATGGTTCCGATGATCTCCCTCTTTTCTTCCCTAGAATCCACATCTGGGGAGAGACCATTTTCAACTCCTGTGATGGGCCCAGAACTTCAGAGCATGCAAAGCCTGTTCCTAACCCTAGGGGGGTGTGTGTCTGTGTGTGTGTGTGGTAGGAGAATTATCTTTCTTGTATCAACTCCTACATGATCCAGGCACCTCTCTCACTACCACAGAAGCCTAATGTGAATTTCATCGCCAACAGTCCCCCACGACTGAACGTGAGGAGCACTTTTGCAATGTTCTGCGGGAGTAAGCCAAAATGAGACAGAAGATGGGAATAAAAAGGGAGGGGGGTGGAGGTGTCCATAAAAAAGGCTGGGATGAAGAACCAGATGCTGTAGAATCTAAACCTAGAGCCAATGGACGCCCCGTAGGCCTGTACTGGGAACGGTGCCACACGATTTAGGCGTTGTCACCACCCTTACAGATGTCCCCATTAGGTGGAGCTTGGTGTCTCTTTAAATTGTGAATTCATGTACCTTTAAAATTGGTACTTTTAAAGGCCACAGGGTCCTTCTGATTTGTAAACTCGGCGTCACTTCCAAATCTTTTCAGCTCACTGTGCTTTAAGCTTTTGCATATCATCTGTCACAAGCGGTTGTGTTCACAGAATCTGTCTTCTCCTTTCCCACGGAACCTCGCGTTTCCACTCCACGGTTCCCTGCCTCCCTGCGGGCCACCTGTGAGCTGATTTCCATGGCTTCGCGTGGAAACGTGCTCGGTCTCCCCTGCTACCCCATCTTTGGAGTGCCGCCCAGATTTTACCATCACAAATTGCACTGCCCTGAACATCTTTCTCACTTGGGTGGAGGCCCGTCCAAGGGTGGGAATCATTAGATGTCTTGGATACAAAAGTCCAGGAAGTTGAGCTGAGTTAGACTAATCCATGTGAGATGCACCTTCAATGTCAATGCCAGCAAAAATAGTTTTCTGAGAGCTGCTGCGGCTCTGCCGGGGTTACAGCAACAACCCTGAGTCGGGCAGCCTCATGCAGCCGGCCCATCCTGAAAGTCCGTGCCAGGGATCTCGGCTTCAGTCCAGATTTACTAACCTCTTCTCAGATCTTGATTTCAAGCCCTTTGGGTGAACACTTGGCCACAGACTGTGGATCATGTACATAAGGGTCACCTGAGAGGCTTTGCCCTGGCCCATCGCAAGCCCCAGGAGGTTAGGCCGAGCTCAGTGGCTCACACCTGTAATCTCAACACTTTGGGAGGCTGAGGCGGGTGGATCACCTGAGGTCAGAAGTTCGAGACCAGCCTGGCCAACATGGTGAAGCCCCGTCTCTACTAAAAATATAAAAAATTAGCTGGGCGCAGTGGTGCACACCTGTAATCCCAGCTACTCGGGAGGCTGAGGCAGGAGAATTGTTTGAACCCAAGAGGCAGAGGTTGCAGTGAGTGGAGATCGAACCGCTACACTCCAGCCTGGGCGACAGACTCAGTCTCAAAAAAAAAAGAAAGAAAGACAGAAAAGGCCCAGGAGGTCCGTGGGGCTGAGGAATCTTCATTTCAGTATATCCCCACGCTCCCTTATACACACCCAGGCAAGATGCATGTGGTCCAGGGTTACACTTGGAGAGTGCTCCAGACTCTCTGGGACTGTGCTATCACAGAGCGTATTTCTGTGCCCAGGGAATTAACCAATTCTGGACAAAGGCCTGTTCCACTGGATGTCTCAGCAGCTGCTGTCTGAAGAACAGCCTGAACTGGCAGTGGCTTGGATAGAGCTGAATGGATGACAGAAATTGCCAGACTGGGCTGGGCACGGTGGCTCATGCCTGCAATCGCAGCACTTGGGGAGGCTGAGGCGGGAGGACTGCTTGAGCCCAGGAGTTCAAGACCAGCCCAGGCAACATTTTGTAGAGACCACGTCTCTACAAAAAAAATACCAAAAATAGCATGCGTGGTGGCACGCACCTGTAATCCCAGTCACTCAGGAGCCTGAGGCATGAAGGATCACTTGAGCTCAGGAGTTTGAGGCTGCAGTGAGTCACCCACACCACTGCATTCCAGCCTGGGTGACAGAGCAAGACCCTGTCTCAAACAAAGAAACTTCCAGACTGACCGTGCTTCTGTCCCTTCTTGTCACAGTGACCCTGCTCAGATTTTGGCTGGACAACAATAAGCAAACTTGGCAGCCAGATAAAGACCTTCAATGCCTGGCGGCTTTAGAAGTTGCTCTCCAGGGCCAGGCACCTCCAGACAGCCTCTCCTACCCCCTCCCATGACTGCTGAAAGTTCACTCACTGGAAAGAAGCTGAGAGGTCACCTGGGACAGCCCCCCTTCCTTTACATGCGAGGAAGCACAGCCCAGGAGGTTTCGCAACCAGCCCAGCCACCTGACTCTCAACTCAGATGGTTACATACAGCCACTGTCTTTTGGAGCACGAAGTACATCCAAGCACTGGGGGAACAGGTGTGAGTTAGACACCATTACTCCATTTCTGCCCCGTGGGACCCACAGTACAGATGGTTCTGACTTACAATTTTTCAACTTTGCAGTGGCGCGAAAGCAATGGACATTCCGTAGAAATTGTACTTGGAATTTGGGATATTGATCTTTTCCCGGGCTAGTAATATGTAGTCTCAGACTTGCAGTGCCTGTCAGGGCAGCGGGCCACAGCTGCCCATCGGCCCTGCCATCACGAGTGCAGGCAACTGACACTCTACAGTGGACTGTGTTGCCAGCGTTTTTAGGGTATTGTTTTGTGTTTTCGCATCCCATCATGGGTACAAAACTGCCATACATGTCTCCTGCTTCTGGGGAAAAGAAGGCAGCTATTACTCTTGCAATGGAACTGAAGATAATTGGCCAGCATAGGGGTGGCAAGCCAGTCACGGCCGTCCCACGCAAGTCAGGACTCTTGCAATCCATGATCTCATCCTTTAGAGGCATTTCGACTTAATGATATTTTCAGTGCACGTAACCCCATCGTAATCCAGGGAGCATCTGTAGAGTAGGGAAAGATGTTCAAAACGCAATAAATTACACAGCTCAAGACATTTGTGTGATGAGCTATGGGGTGCAACAGAGAATTCAGAGGTTTCTGGGCGAAATGAAGTGGAGCTGAAACCTGCATGATGAGCAAGTCAATGTCATATAGTTGGGTACCAAAGACTGGTCTGTAGGGGAGGACTTTCCAGGCTGAGGCACTGAAAGGAGGCTGGGTGGAGGGTGTAACCAGGAGATAGGGACGAGAGATGAGGCTGGAGGGCTGGCCAGGCCCTGGCCATAGAGGGCTTTGCAGGACCAAGGAAAAGGTTCTGAGCAGGTGGCATAAGCTCAGATGGGCATTTAAAAAGCGGATCCCTCTGAGAGGTATTTAAGGAGTTAAAGCCAAAGGCCTTGGTGAGGACGGATTGGAGGAGGAAACAGGGAGTAGAGGCGGCTGGGGCCGGACCTCACCCAGCTTTCCTCTGTCCAGCTCCTGCCATCTTTGACTACTTCCTCTCACCCTTTGAATGGGAGGAACCGCCTTCCCTGTAGTTCTTCTCTTCCTGGGGCCCAAGCCCATCTGTCTCTGACCAGGCTTCTCCTGCGGAATCTGGTGTCAGTAACCACTTCCTGATCAATATCTTCTCCATTGCCTTCAGGATACAATTCAAAAGGTCAGCCTGCATTTTTTTCCTTTGTGTGTCCTGGGTAAAGTGGGTCTCTCCAGATCCCCCACCTCACCCCCCTCAACCTGCCTGTCTTATCTGATATTTCCACCCTGCAGCCCTAGAAGGTCCACCAGCTCCTTCCCATACAAGTGGAAACATTTCCTTGAGTTGAGGCCTAGGCTATCCCACCTCTGTTACATCCTGGGCAATGCCCGGGGGGTCCACCTTTGGTGTTACTTTTTAGAACTTTTGCTGTTTGAAGTTTCTCGATTCAGCCAGGTGATGAGAGGCTGATGACAAAGAGGAGGCACAGCTGGAGTACCTGAGGCCAGGTATCTGCACATTGCTTCCCCTGCAAATCCAGTCTTCCTCAAGCTCTCTCCAAGATAAAATGGACACATCTTTTGAGAAGTAAGCACCATTCGGCTCACACTTTCCATTGTGTTATGGGTTATTCTCTTTACAAAGGCCTCATTTAAAGCCCAGTGAGACCTCAAGGGTCAGGGTTAACTTGAGAGGTCTGGAAAGGAGACGGCGAATAAGAGAGAAAATTACAGAGAGGAGAGCCAGATACGGCATCTTCCTCATGTTATGCTGGACACTAGGAGTAGAATTGGACAATGAGCATGGGAAAAGAAGGGGGTGGTCTTTCCTTATCCCATGCCCTTTAGCAAACAGAAAACTTTACAGCAGATGGGATTAGAGATGGGAGACAGACCCAGGCGGGTCCACATACACTTCATGAAAGACTCAAACAGGTAGCAAAACTCTACAATCACATTTTCACAAAGCAGAGACACACACGCACAAAGGACTGGAAGGAAAGTCCAGTCCCAAATTACCTCTCAGTGGTGAGATTTCAGAGGGTTTTTTCCTTTTGTTGGTTTTCCTTGGTTTTCTATTTTTTTCTACAGTAAATATGCATGACATTTGTAATAAACACAGTGGCATACATGCATGTACATACAAAGAGAAAGGTGAGGTCCCTGGCGCGTCAAGCCAGCGCTCATCCCTGGAGACCTGGAGAGGCACCCCACATCAAGGGGATCAGGCTACTAGGAGGGCTGGATTTCAGAAACCTGCCCTGTTATTATTATTATTGTTATTATTATTATTGCTATACTATTAAAGCAATAACAGGCTGGGCAAGGTGGCTCATGCTTATAATCCCAGCTCTTGGGAGGCCGAAGGCAGGAGGATTGCTTGAGCCCAGGAATTCAAGCAATGGGCAACAAAGGGAGACCCTATCTCTAACCCAAAATACAAAAATTAGCCAGGCATGGTGGTGTGTGCCTGTAGTCTCCACTGCTTCGGAAGTTGAGGCTGCAGTGAGCTGTGATCGCACTACTGCACGCCAGCCTGGCCAACAGATCAAGACCCTGCCTCAAAAAAAAACTTAATAAAACAATAATAGCCTTAGAAAGCCCCTTCTTACAGCAGCTCTGTGAGGGAGTATTAGGACAAGACACGATTATTATCTCCATTTTACAGATGAATACGCAGAGACCAGAAGAGGTTAAGAGGCTGTTTCAATCCGCACAGGTGCTTCCTGACTCACTTTCAGAGGTCAAAGCAGGGCATGCAGCCCCAGGTCTTGAGATTCCAAATCATGAGGTGTTTCTTTATTTTTGTTTTTTTGAGACAGAGTTTTGCTCTTTTTGCCCAGGCTGGAGTGCAATGGCGCTATCTCGGCTCACTGCAACCTCTACCTCCCAGGTTCAAGCGATTCTTCTGCCTCAGCCTCCCAAGTAGCTGGGATTACAGGCGTCTGCCACCACGCCTGGCTAATTTTTTTTTTTTTTTCATTTTTAGTAGAGACGGGGTTTCACCCGGTTAGCCAGGATGGTCTCGATCTCTTGACCTCGTAATCCGCCTGCATCCGCCTCCCAAAGTGCTGGGATTACAGGCGTGAGCCACCGGGCCCGGCCATGAGGTGTTTTTTTTTTTTTTGAGACCAAGTCTCACTCTGTCCTCCAGGCTGGAGTGCAGTGGCACAATCTGGCTCACTGTAACCCCCGCCTCCCAGGTTCAAGCGATTCTTGTGCCTCAGCCTCTGGAGTAGCTGGAACTACAGGCGACCGCCACCACGTCTGGCTAATTTTTGTATTTTTAGTAGAGACGGAGTTTCACCATTTTGCCCAGGCTGGTCTCAAACTCCTGACCTCAAGTGATCCATCCGCCTCGGCCTCCCAAAGTGCTGGGATTACAGGCGTCAGCCACCGTGCCTGGCCCCAAATCATGAGTTCTTTCTGGTCTGTAAGAAAGCATCGCTGATGGATCTTCATTCCATGGCTTTGACCTCGGCATTACTCTTGCTGTCCTGCACACCACAGTGTGTGCCACAATATCCCACAAACCACCGAGTCCCCACTCCAGGGGCACAGCGGCCCCCTCAGCCCGCGCAGGTGCAGAATGTGGGCCTCAAAGTCAAAAGCTTATTCACGCCTTAAGTGCGTACCAGTCGCTTCTTGTGCAGCGTCCTATCCTCTCGGTTTGAAAACCACCCAAGCTGGCAGGAGAACGTGGATGGGATTATATTTTTGTGGTTTTAAAAACCACATTACTTTTAGGAGACAAGGCACAAACAGGCCTAACCTAATGATTAAAAAGAAAAGAATCCCACAGATAAGAACACCTCGATCCCACAAAGAACCACATTAAAACCCCTTTTTTCTGTTACATACATACTCCTGGCAGGGAGGGGGTGGTACAGGATGCCTCTGGTTTCCTCGGTGGAGGTTGACTTAATTCTGAAGAAATCATTTCGCAGCTCTAAATCCACGACAGACCACTCACCTCCTCCTCCATGCCTCGGGATTATTTAGATCGCTGAGCTTCCAAACTTTTACAGCTAATTTTCAAAGAAACAAGTTCCCTCATGTTTTGAAGTTCAGGCAACTTGTGCTTTGTTGGTTGAAATCAGCTCCCAGAGAAGGCAGCCCCGGATGCAAATGCACCCTGGACCTGCTTGAGCCCCGTTAGGCGCAAAGGTCCCAGCTCCCCGGTGTCTCCTGGCGCAGGAGGCGGGAGCCGCCGGCCTCTCCGGGCCAACGTGCGCCTAGGCGCATGCCAGCCGTGCCCGCAGTGCCCCGCGGGGCTCCCAGTCGGGTGGTGCGGAGCGGAGGGCGGCCGGGACGCAGGCGGAGGAGCTGGGGTGCCCGCCCGGCTCCTGGCACTATGCTCCCCGGCGCCCGCCCGCGGCCAGCTCGCTCTATCCCCAAACTCCGCCAAGTCACCCGCGGAGGCAGGACTCACCAGGCCCCCAGCTCGCCGGGACCGGCCTCCCACCGAGGCCACCTTACTCACCGCCGGGCCCGCCAGGACCAAGAGCGCCCGCAGCTCCTCTCGGAAGGCGGACAGCCGCAGGCAGCGCGACCCACGGAGCTCAAGGGTGGCCTCCGGGCCTCGGCGCACGGGCGCGGGCTCCTCAGGATCCTCCATGTGACTGGCGCGCTGCGGCCGGGTAGAGCGGAGGCAGGCAGTGGGGACCGCGCAGTGCAGCCCGCTCTGCAGTCCCCGCCCCTGCCGCCCGCCTAGTGCCCGCCCCGCGCTTGGCGCCCGGGGACCCGACTGAACGCGCAGCCAGGCAGCCTGCGACCTTGGGCGCACCCTTTGCACCTTTTTCTGCACCACTGCGGACGCCTGCGGGTCTTGCAAAGACCAAGGAACTCCTGCACTTGGAAGGCAAAGTTTGAAAAAGCTCTGGAAACTAACGGAATGCGCTCCGGGGGCTGGGTCCTCCAAGTCTTGCGGACGCCAGGACTCACCCCGGCTCTGCACCTCCACTGGGAGTTTCAGGTTCTGAATGACCTGGTGTGGAAGGACTCAGAGGCCTCGAGCGGTTACTAGGTTAGCACCCCGCGGGGTGTATGGGTTGGGCGCATTTACTGTGCAGATTGAGTTGGGTACACGCTTTGATGCTGGTTTGAATGTTGCATACTCCTCTCCTTTCATCAGTTGTTCCATTAGAGAACTTAGAATCTACCAGGATAGAGCAACACGCTCCCATTTGCCAAGTTGCACAGTTGGTGCCCGCTGGTCGTGTTGGAAGTTTATCCGTCAGCCTGCTGTGGGAGTACAAGAGGCTGTTGCCCAGAAGGGCGTGGGCAGCGCACTTTCCTTCCAGAGCCTCAGCTTCCTCATCTGCAAATGTGAAAGAACATCTCATCGCCAGCTATGAAGACTGGGGTTGCCTGGGCGGAGGACCTGAGTCAGTGCCACCTGCCATCAGCCTGGCACCAGCCATTACCTAATAAGTGTCAGTTACCAGGACAAGAATGATTTCTGTAATAGTCAAAATTCCTTCCATTGTAAGTGATCCAATGTAAGTAAAGAAAACGGAAAACAAATTTTTTGGCTCACATAATCAGGAAGTGTGGATTCAGGGATTTTTTTTTTTTTTTTTTTTTTCTGAGACGGAGTCTCACTCTGTCCCCCAGGCTGGAGTGCAGTGGCACCATCTCGGCTCACTGCAAGCTCCGCCTCCCGGGTTCACGCCATTCTCCTGCCTCCCGAGTAGCTAGGACTACAGGCGCCCACCACTACGCCCGGCTAATTTTTTTTGTATTTTTAGTAGAGAAGGGGTTTCACCGTGTTGGCCAGGATGGTCTCGATCTCCTGACTTCGTGATCCTCCCGTCTCGGCCTCTCAAAGTGCTGGGATTACAGGCGTGAGCCACCGCGCCTGGCCGGATTCAGGGATTTAAAAACAAGATCATTCGGCCTGGTGAAACACCAGGCCAACATGGTGAAACACCGTCTCTACCGAAAATTAGCTGTGTGCTGTGGCGCGCACCTGTAATCCCAGCTACTAAGGAGGCTGAGGCAGGAGAATTGCTTGAACGCGGGAGGCGGTGGTTGCAGTGAGCCGAGATCTTGCCACTGCACTCCAGCCTGGTGGCAGAGGGAAAATTCATCTAAAAAAATACACACACACAAACAAGATCGTCCCTCTCCCCATCTCGGTCCCTCTCCTCCCTTCTCCTTGCCCCTTGGGATTCTTTCCGTAGTTTCTCTTCCTCTTCTGCAGGCAACCTTTCTCTTCCTGTGCAGGTTACAGTGGTGGGTGGCCTCTGATGCCCTCGTTTCTATCTTTCCCATCTGTTAAACCAGAAAGTAAGGCCCTACCCTCCTCTCTTCTGGCTCCAAACTAACAAAAAACTGGGAGAAAATCTGGTTGGCCCTGCTTAGATTTCTTGCCCACCTCTGGAGCAATCGCCCTGGGTGGGAAAATAGGGTCTGATGTTTGGCTTGCCCTGGACCATGCACCCAGCTTTGTACCTACAGGGTAGGATTAGGTGCCCTGTGACTGGTCTGGTCCCACGAGGACTGTAGGTATGGAGTAGAGAAGTTTTCCAAAAGCATTGAGAGTCTCAACACACAAATATCCAAGGATATTCACTAGATCTCTGATCACTGCTGTTCTTTGATAATCTTCTGGAAGTCCTGACTGATGTAATTAGATAGGAAATGGAAATGTAATGTATAATATTAGGAAAGAAAAGGCAAAGGGATTACTCACAGTAGAAATTGCCAGACTGGGCCAGGCACAGTGACTCATGCCTATAATCATAACTCTTTGGAAGGTCGAGGTGGGAGGATCACTTGAACCCAGGAGTTTCAAGACCAGCCTGGGCAACACAGTGAGACCCCATCTCTTAAAAAAAAAAAATCCACACAACCCAACCCAAAGAAATAAAATATGAAGAAAAACTAATAGAATTGATAAAGGGGTTTAATAAAGTTGCTACATAGAAGTTCTTCAACAAGTCATATCAGTCCTTTATATAGGTAATAACACATGAAAATACTAAAAGAAATCCTTCACAATAGCAACAAAAAACAAAAGGTCCATGTGATGGAGAGCATAACTCCTCACTCCTTAAAGATGGATTGTACATAGTGACTTCCTTCCAAAAAGTAGAACAGGAAAATTAATTTTCAATTAATATATTAGGTTTTAGTCCACTTCTGTGTATTCCATTAGTTTAAAATTTAATAGAATGATTCTAAAAGCAATTGGTAGTGTGAACAGGAAAAGATATAACAAAAACTCTGAAAAAGAAAAGTAAGGAGGAAAGAAGTAGCTCTATTGGCTGATAAATAGCTTTTAAAACAGTGTGTGGTTGGCTGAGCAT